ATCTGTCAACGAGACTAGGGCAAACTTTGGTCTTCCACAGGGCCGTGTTTTCAGAAGAGTAAGAGGCATCAAGCCTCTTGTGTAAATAGCATGCCTGTCCAGGCACCAATGTACAAAGGATTAAGATAGTTAGAGGGGTTCTTGAACGTAGAAGAAGTGATTGCAAAACTCTTTTGTGATTTTAAATCTCCATCTGTTTTTTCTGAGTTCTTTCAGACCTAGCAGATGTATGCGAATTCCAAGTTCTGCAGCATATATCAAGATTCAACAAGTCCACCTTTCTTCCATACTTTTAGCGAAACTTAAATTGAATTCCCTGCGAGAAGAAGAAAAATAGATGTTTTGATTTTGTTTAATTTTTTTACGTCGTAAAACCCTCTTCAAGCATCATCATTGTGAAGAGCTGTGTTCAAGCAACACCCCAAGCCAGTTTCCTGCACCCGCTCAAACAATACCCACCTACTATTTCACCGATCCAACTCTGGTATTCTTCAATTTCATGTCCAATGATATCACGCGACGCCTAGAGCTTCGTGAACTCAATGAGAGGGCCTGGACTGGTGAACTGGTCTACAAGCTTGCAGCGAAACAAGACCTGAGTTTGAAGAAAAACACAGGTTTCGTGAAGAAGCTCAGAACTGCTTTGAACGCCGATCAATTCAAGCATGTACTCAAGGATGTGGAGACATTGAGCTTGGAAAAATACCTGGCAGAAATCGTCAATCCCTTGTTTGAAGGTACCATGAAAGTTTCAAAAAATGATGACATACTACCTACAACAGAGATAGTCTCTGCCCTTCATCAGCGTCTCAATCTACCATTTACGCCATACTACTTATCGCAGGTGGTGAATGCACTTGTGGATAAAGAGCAACCAGATCTTATCCCTAAACAGAGGCTGCTTTTAAAGATTATCACTGAATTTCACTTGACTGGAGTCGCACCTTCTCTACAACAGTGTGACCATGAACTGCTATCGTCTGCTTCCCTAAAATTGTTTACAAAGCATCCAGACGATCCGATCATTATTCCTTTGCTCAAGGATACCCTATCATATCAATTCACTAAAGCATATGCTCTTCCTATCTTGATATCATGGTTGAAGAGATATGCATTTATATTTGATGATGGCGAAAATTCGCTCCTACAAAGCGATACACTCAATCTCGTCAAACAAATATGCAATATGTATTTCGAAAAGTCCGTCAAACTTTGGGAAACTCTGCATAAACAAAAATTGGCACTCGATCTCAGAAACAAGAAGGCCATGATCCGTACAGGTAAGGTGCTTGATGACATCCAGCAAGAGTTAGAGGAAAAGACAAAGGTGGTTGAAGCACTCAAAAATGGCTGCCCAGTTTTAGCGGAATTGCTACACACAGAGCTTCCCCAGCTAGACCTTTCCAGCGAACCAGCTGCTAATGAGTCTGATGTTGTCGTCAAAGCAAGCACCGATGACGATGCTCAAGGCTGGTGGGAGGACCAACGTGAAAGAAACTTCTATTTGAAAGTACCAACTGCAGAAGAGGCCGTGCAACTCGGAAGCCGTGATCTACAGAAAAAAGAATACGCCAAGCTCACCGAGGGTGAAATGGTGGCTCATTGGCTAGAAAAGCTTGAAAATGCCACATCTGAGGACGACATTAACAAGCTTACTTGCGAATTGCAAACATTAATACCGCAAACCAAAGCGACACAGAACCGACTTCTACGATTTTTTCTTGAAGTGAAGAAGATAGATAATGTGAACTTGTTTGCGAGGTTTCTCAAGATCAACGAATCACTTTTCCCAGAGCTTATAACAGAGCTCATTGATGCTCTAGACAGGGGTTTTAGGTCTCTGATCTACAGGGATGTTATAAACTTCAAGAACTTGTCGTTCTTCATAGAGCTCGTGAAGTTCAAGCTCATCCCAACACATGTTGTGTTCCATAAGATACGAAGACTCACGCTTAACATTGAGGGTACCAACAATGCTGACATCTTGCTGATCTTTTATGAGCGTTGCGGTAAGTTCCTTTTGTTTGAACCCGACTACCAGGAAACCACACGTGAGATGCTTTCTCTTTTGAGCAAACAGTCCAAGTCTTCAAGATTATCAGTGAATGAAAAATTATCATTGCGTAATATGTTCTTGATTGTGAACTCATTTACTGCTACGAAAAGTAAAATAAAACACGTGGCGGTGGAGTTGTCACCAATTGAAGATTTCATCACGCACATGGTGAGATTTGTGCTCTGGAAGAACAAATCTCAACTTCCATCTGCCTTCCTTTCAAAAATCAATTTTCAGGGCTGCCCCGAGGCTCGAAACATTTTCGTCGAACTCTACCTGAAGCCTGAGGAGCTTGGACTCGATAAGCTTCATCTATACGCTAAAGTTTTAAGACGTCTTGGATCCGACAACGTTTGCATACCTCTAATCATCGATACATTAACCGAGAAGGTGATAAGAGGGTTAGAGCTCAATGATTACAGGCAGAATTTGGCTCGAGTTGCACAGATGAGGTTCTTTGCAGCTCTCTTCACAGCAAGCATAATTGATTTCCGTTGCATAATAGACCTACTCTATAAGGTCGTGACTTTGGGACATGCAAATAACCTTCCTTTACCAAATTCTAGAGTTGATATTGATCTCAATGATAACTACTTCAGGATAAGTTTATGCTGTGCCCTCATAAATAACATCAGTTTCTCGAAAATTGATAGGGCACGTCTTCTAGTGGGCGGTACAAAGTCTATGGAAGGTTTCCTTACTTTCTTCCAGTACTACGTGCTGACCAAAAAACATCCGCTCCCACAAGAGGTGAGTTTCGCCGTGCGTGATGTTTATTCCAAGATGTACATACAACCCGCTTTGGATAACCCCATGCTTGCGCTATCTTTGCTTCAAAAGTTCAACACGGAGCAAAAGGATGCTCCCAAACAAGACAAGTCGATATTTGTCGAATCAGATCATGAAGAGGATGAGGATGAGGATGAATATGACTTCTCAGATGATGACGACTCGTCTGTCGGAAGTGACGACGAACTCGTTGATCAGCAGTTTGAGGATGAGGATGAAGAAGCAACTACTGAAAATAGTGATGACGAAAATGATGAGCTCCAGGATGAGGATGATTTAGATGACGAAGAAACTACACAAGACCTTGGCCAAGACCTGGATGAAGACGAGGATGGTTTAGCGCCATGGAAACAGCAAGAAGAAGATAAGAGATTTGCTGACACGATCGATGCTGGAATACGAGATGCTTTACAGGAGTCGCTTCATATATCACAAGCTCGCCCCAAGGGTAATTTCAAAGTTCCTGCTCCCTCCAACTTTGTCAATGCTACTCCCGAAAATGAACGGTCATCCAATTTGAACTCCCCTGACGGTAGAGTCAAATTTAATTTCCTTTCTAAAAAGAATAGCGTCAAGGAGATGCATTTACCCTCAGACAACAATTTCGTCAACAGGGTGGTGAGAGAGCAGGCGGCTCAAAAGGCAAACAGAGATAAGATCATCCGGTTGATCAACAACATGGATCAATAGCCAATACAGTTATTTTCATTCGTCTAATTTATCTATTTATAACACTTCGACCAACACAACGGTCACATCGTCCTCTTTTCCACCCAAATACTTCTGTCCCGTGAGCCTCGACAATTCCTGGGCAAATGCGCTAGGGAAATCTTGATCCTTCGACACCTTCACCACCTCACTCACAAGACTTGTAGCTGTGTCTGGCAAAGTAGCCTGTTTTTCTTTCTTATCTCTCAAGAAGACCTCAATGTCCTGCGGCACAACATTGTCTGTGACACCGTCAGTAGCGAAAAGCACAAGATCGCCCTTTTCGAGTTGCCATTCGTACTCGTCGCTCATGGCTGGTGTGTCTGTGATGTAGCTCTTTCCCTGGCGAGCAGCCTCTTGCAAAATATGCTGTGGAATCTTGGCTAGTTGGTAAGGAGTGTTGAAGTTGTGGGTCTGGAATTGGGTCTCTTCCACAAGCTTATAGTCTCTGAACACACCACACCAAGAATCGCCCAAGTTGGCGACCTTGAGCTTCCTGTCGGGGGCGAAAATACCGAGACAAGCTGTGGTTCCGCCGATTTCGACCTTAGGCGAAGCCATGACGTCCTGGAATGCTTTTGAGAGGAGTGATTTTGGGGTGACGCTGTGGCCGGTCTCACCGGTCTCGAACACGGTCTTCATGATATGGCACAATTCTCTGGAAATTGCAGAGGAATCGTAGCCAGCCTCAGCCCAGCCGCCGACACCATCGGCCACGCCTAAAGCAAAGTAGCCGTCTGAGGATTGCTGTGAGACGAAAAGGTTGTCTTCACCAGAGGGCGATGTCTCGGCTGGCGAGAGCTTCTTGTTTCTTGTAAACACATTGGACTTTGTTCTATTCTTGGGCTGGAACGCCACGGCGACATTGAAGTTGACGATTCGGTCTATCGAGCCCTTGTCGTAGTTGTATGACGCAGAGGCCAGGGAGGCAGCTCCTGTGGAAGATGAATTGGGCGATTCAGACGAGGGCCCCTGCTCCCCCGAGCTCCAGTGCTTATCGGACGAGTAGTTGTTGGAAGCTGCGTTATCGGAGGATCTGGCAAATGGCGAAAACGAAATGAAGCGTCTGAGAGCAGCCGGCTCAGCTGAGTACTTGGCAGAGCCAAGAAGGGCTCTCTTGGTGAGCGCCGATAAGAGCATGGGGAGTAGGAAGCAGAAAAGCAAGTACACGCGCATGCACACAGTGGGACAGAAAAGGAGATAGCGGGGAACGGGTCGCTAGGGGTTTCTGGCTTGGCTGAGGATGTAGGTGGTGTTGATATTGGTGCGGGAGTGCTTACAGGAAGAAGCTCGAGGAGACAATAGGTTGATCAGATCCGCTGGCGGAACTTGCATAGGGACGAGAGGAACTAGATTTTTGTTTTTTATTGAAAATGTAAATCTTAATGGTCTACGGCGGGGGTGGTATCTGGGTGTGTGACGTAGAGTGTTTGCAGCCAATGGGCACTTATAACCGTCTAGGGTCCAAAGCGGCCAATAGCGATTCACGGTTCTGGTTGAATTTTCGCTGCAAGCTGGCTCCACGCTCCACCTCGTCAATGATCTCTTGCATCGTCTCCTGGTCTGACTGGTTTCGACAAAGACGCTCCGGTCCAATCGGCGATTGGCTGCGAAATCCGTATGGAGTCTGGCAAAGATCGTCTATCAAAGGCAGGTTGTCCAAACGCCATTCCCAGTCGGTGGCTTCCGGCAGCGTCACAGGCGTGAGATCGTCATCCAGCTCGCCTGATGCGTCGTAGCCCTCATCATCGTCATTTTCCATTTCGGCACGATGTGCTGCAGGGTCTATGCCGTTGAGGAGCAAGGTCGTCTTCATCACCGAAAGGATGAACTCCTCAAGCATTCCGACCTCGATGATGGGCTCGGAAGTATCTCCGGGAGAACGCAGGTCGAGGTACTCGTTTCGGCGTCTGTGGGCGTTCCAGAGACATGACACTAATCGTGCTGTTCTACGACCCACCAACCATTCGACTTTCAAATAGTGGTACCTCATGAAGCGGATGAGGCGAATGTACATGGTGGGAACGTGAGGGAGGCCGGTGATGTAAGGGAATGAAAATGTCAAATCGTACCCGGGAAGCCAGAAAAAGCTTCCTTCTGCTATGTCTGCTGGGGACCTCACTTTATCTGATTCTGGAGGAACATGTAGTTCTTCTTCGTCTTCGTCTTCTTCTTCGTCAGCTGTACTCAAATTCTCCTCCGTGTCTGAATCGACGTCTTCCTCTTGTTTCGTTTCATAGATGTGAGTATCACCATGCTCAAATATAGGCAGAAAGATGTCTCTCTCACAATCTGCCAGCTCCATCAGCAGCTTTATTGTACTCGCAAGATCGCTTGGTTCGTTTTCGTCAGGGTACCTCATGAAGCGCATTTTCCGAAAAGGAAGAAAGAAAGCCCGGGCATTACTATTTATCCATCATACCCCAGCATGCTGTCTTGGACCTTCTGTCTCAGAAATGGCTGCAAAATTCCTGCAAGGTGCGTTTCGCAGCCACTCCGAATCAGGAAGTGACAGCTTCTCCAGAGCCTATTGTGGGGTAAGTATAGTCTGTTTGTGACCATATTGAAGTCAGAAATGCCGAATTTGGCTTGTATTATTTTGATCAAGCTTCGTGGGTAGGAATTGTAAGGGTCGATCCAGGTCACGTGCCGAGGTCCGGAATTTTTCACTCTACAAAAGACCCCTTCTTTCACCGCCGACATCGTCAGAGAACACCCCTTCATTTCGCTTCTTGCCAACTACCCCAAATCAACCAAAAACACGCGTTTACACCCTCCCCCACCAGAAAAGCCTGGGCTATAGGTGTGGTGGTTCCCACGGGATGTACGGGGGTCCGTCTGACGTCCAATCAAAATGGAGTGAGAAAACAAAACCGAGCGAAAAAAAATATACTAAGGTCCAACTCCACACAACACATCACCTTTTGAATTTCCAGATGTCGACATTCAACGTGTTAAGATACTCCGCTCTCGGCGCTGGTGTCCTCTACGGAGCCGTCCACAGATACAACTTGGAGTCTGCTGTCAGTGAACAGCACAAGGCCGAGGAGTGGAAGAAGCAGGAGAAGTTGATAAAGGAGGCCAAGGCTGAGTACGCCAGATTGCACGCTCCTAAGGATAAGCCATCTAGCGGTGCTGGTTTGTCTTTGAAGACATTGGAGGACCCTAACGTTGACTTCGGCAAGGTGTTGGAGTCTTTGGTCCAGAAGTTGGAGTAAGCGATTGCCCGCACATTATATATATTGAAGTCGGTGAGTGTCCTGCGGGACAATTGAACATGAAGTACGGATAGATGATGGAGAAGCGGGTTGACGGAGAGTTCTCCATGAACATGTACTATGCTCGCATCATGGCATGCCCAGCGCGTGTCAATAAAAGTATACAAAGAGAGAAAATGTAGTTGTGGCTTCATTACAGGTGGTGATAAGCCCCTAATGGCCTTCTTCGTTTCACTAGACCACCGGTCGGTTTCTAGATGTTTGGAAATTGGTCACGTGATCGAAGCCATAGTATCAAGCCTTGATAAGCGATAGCGTTCCACAGTGGTACATGCCAGGGAGGCAGAGATCATCATGACCCCCATTTCCTCAAAAGACGTCGATCTACCGACAAGTCCATCGTCAACCACAGGAGAAACAGAACTACGAGATAATTCCGAAAAACTCATTTGTCCCATATGCGACGAGGATATGGTCTCCTTGATCCAACTCAACAGACACATCGATGACTCCCACACCGGAAAAGAAAATGAAACATCAGTCCAGAAAAAAACACCCATTAAAAAAACCCTAAAGCTCGATTTATTCGATGATAGCAACGGTTTTGGTCTTAGTGACGTCAATGGAGAAGCTCAAGAAGGAACCCCAGATACGGGTCTGAAGAGTTCTTTAAAGAGGGCACATTGGAAACAGCCTGTTCCTGGAAAACCAAACTATTGCTCCCAGAAAGAATGTAAAAAGCTTCTTAATGTGAGAACGGGAGTTGTTAACTGCCGAAAATGCGGCTTGCTTTACTGCAATGACCATACGAGATATCGAGTCAAACTCAACAATTCGGCATCCAAGGACACTCTACCTCAGTATGACTCGTACGGTGTTTTCGCAAGGTCTTGTGAGAGCTGCTACTTCAATAAACCGCTGATTAAGTTGGGCACACAGGTTAACAGCAAAGACTTGACTGAGAGCTTTTCCAAAATACGAACCACGAAAGTGGCGGAGAAACAATCGAGACGAGACGTGCTCCAAAAGCGGTTCATTAAAATCACGAATCTCATGGCGGAGAACTATCTATGGCATGCCGAACATAGAAACTCAGTCTTCCTGGTCTTTAATTCCCCAAGGCCACCTTACACTGCAGAGGAGTATCTCGAGAAAGAAAAAGAAATTGTTGGCCACGATAATTGGCAAATTGATGACGAGATCACTCACTGTCCACTTTGTTATGCGAAGTTCAACTTTCTTGTCAGGAAGCATCATTGTCGCCTATGTGGATCCATAGTAAGTGATTTAGCCATTAACTCAGAGGACATGTCTTCAATGTGCTCCTTACAAGTTCCTGCTGGCATTTTCATGAAGCTTCTTCCCACGCTTAACTACCCACCTCATGTCATTAATAATTGGGACACATTGGTCCTGTTGAATCAAGAAAAGTCAAGACATGCCAGCATTTTCTCCTTTAGATGTTGCAAGACGTGCAAAGACACGCTAATTCCACGTGGTAGATCAGAAACCCCCGAAGAATCCTCTGCTATATTTGCAACATATGACGAGCTTTTGATGCTCAAGATGCACATTTCCACATCATTGCCGCGTTACGACAACTTGGCTGCAAGTGGACTTGAAGAGCAAACTGACGAGATAAACAAGCTACGAACGAAACTTATGAAGTACCTTAAAGATTTCGAAATTGCAATCGAAAACTTCAAGCGCGAGCTGTTTCGACTCGACCCGACTTCCAAGAAACATGTTCCTTTATTCAACCCGTCGCTTGTAACAAATGTTTATAAGCTGACTATTGTGTTCTTGCAAGACTCGCTTCTCCACTTCAAACGTATAAACGACCATTATCAGGAATTGGAGAAGACACGCTTGACTGGGCAAATTGGTGAATTAAAACCATTTGATAACAACCCCGAGATTGCCTCACCAAGCCCCGTGCCCACTAAACCCAGGCTCACCAAGAAGCAAATTCGAGAATTACGAGAAGAACTTATGGTCGTCAGCGAGCAGAAATTCTTGGTTGAGCAGCAAATGGAGGAGGCCAAACGGCAAAGGCGTTTTGATGAAGTCTCGGCGCTTACGGAGAATGTTAACGAATTAGAGAAGCGCAAGCTGGAATTAGAGGGCGAATTGGGCGAGTTTGCCTTTGAATAAGCAACCTATCATACGCAACCTCCCCACGGGGAACAGCATAATGTGGAGGTGATGTCAGAGTAAAGTTTGGGGTAGAGTGGAGGGGCCCCCACGATTTCGCCGCTTCCTCCACGCTGGATTGCTGGTCCCCCACGATCTTTTCCAATGAACCCCCTTGAAACGTGGGGGAAAATTGGGGGATTTCTCGATAATCGTCACCTTTTCCCTCGTAATACGCTCCAATTGTGCCTCCAGGGGCTGTTTACATCATGAGCGGTGCCAATCCGTGTGGGGGCCGGCCTATGGCGGACCGAAGAGCCCCGCGACACCTCCGTCAATCGGAATACCTGGAACTCGGTTTTTTGCTTAAGATCTTACAAAGCTATTATCAACGAATAAAAAAGTTGAGGTCCAGTTTTTTGGCGCTATCTACATTGGGACCATGGAGGCGCAGGTGAGTGAACTGTCTCACTTCGGACTCTGATCGATGAGCTCGACCTGCACGAAAAACTGCATCAAACTTTCGCTTGGTATATGCTTCTCCACCCTGATCCTGGTTATTAATTCCCGTGAACTATCTGCTTCGTAATATAAAAGGTTTGGAGGATCCTGGTTTGGGGCAATATTACCAAAATCCTCCAAAAGCTTCTACAACGTTTGCCTATGGGTAAAGTCAAGCTGCTTTGTGATTCAGATTACACGCACACCGATGTCGAGATATCCAAGCTGGAAGCGTTATCTACACTGACCTACAACTTTGATAAGAATGAAGGACCCAGGACGCTGGCATGGCAGAAGACGAAGGATGTTTTGATGTTGAAGAAGCTTTTCGAGAAGTATGAGGAAAGGCCTACACCGCCTGCTGTCTACAACTGGCGCATTTACGGTACAGCCCTTATCGCTTCAGCTGCTGCTATCATCATTGGATATGATGGCGGTTTTATCGGTGGTACCGTTGCCTTGAAATCATTCAGAGATGAGTTTGGTTTAAATAACATGACTGAAGCTCACGCCGATAAAATCATTTCTGACGTTATATCGGTCTTTCACGCCGGCTGCTTCTTTGGCGCCCTCATTTCATATCCGTTCTCTTATTACTGGGGTAGACGGATTTCACTCATTATCGCTGCTGCCACTATCACTGTTGGTTCTGCGATCATGTTGGCTGCTTCTTCTGAGAATGGACTTGCTCCGATTTACGTGGGAAGAGTGCTTGCTGGTCTTGCTGTTGGGTTCTCGACGAACTTGACTCCTGTGTATCTTTCTGAAATCAGTCCTCCTGCCATCAGGGGCAGAATCATTGCATTATATGAAATCGGTTGGCGAATGGGAGACTTGGTCGGTTTCTGGATTAATTACGGCATCGACACACATATCGCATCAAGCAAGAAACAGTGGTTTATTCCTTTTGCTATACAGCTTGTTCCTAGTGGAATGTTTCTCGCGGGAAGCATCATCATGAAAGAAAGTCCCAGATGGTTGTTTTCTGTTAACAGGCATGACAAAGCAATCAATAATCTAAAATGGTTCAGAAACTTGAGCGAGGACGACGAATACATTATCTACGAGGTCAATCAGGTTAAAGAGTCCATCGAATATCAGCGCAACCATGTCGGTCTTGGTATTACAGACCCCTTTAAGCAAGTGTTCCTCAGTAAAGACAGAAGAATTCTTTATCGTCTATGCCTCACTTGCTTATTGTTCCTTTTCCAAAACTTTTTGGGTATTCAGTCCATCAATTATTACTCCCCTCGCATCTTTGGAAGCTTAGGCGTTAACGGGACCAATGCTACCCTATTCTCGACTGGCATGTTTGGTGTTGTCAAGTTTGTTTGCACCTTCATTTACATCATCTTCATTGTGGATTCATTTGGTAGACGAAAGGCCTTCATGTGCTCCTCGACCGTTTGTTCGCTATGCTTCTGGTACATCGGGGCATATCTTAAAGTGAACGATCCTACGGAGCCAGGCGTAGAAGCTGGCCCTGGTGGTACTGCTGCGATCGTTATGATGTACATTTGGATCTCATCTTTCATTCTTGCTTGGTCCGGAGGTCCTTTTGTTATCGGCAGTGAAGTTTTTGATCAGAATATCCGTTCTTTTGTTCAGGCAATCAATGCTGCTGTGTCTTGGGTCCCAATTTTCATAATGAGTCGTTTCACTTCGGACATGATCCGATCGATGGACTACGGCATTTATTTCTTTTTTGCATCGTTGGCGGTCTTGTCTGTTCCTTTCGTGTACTTCTGTATACCAGAAACAAAAGGCATTGCCTTGGAAGACATGGACAGATTGTTTAACAAAAATATCCCTCCCCGACTTGCTCACTCCATTGTGCTCAAGGAGGCTAGAAGAGGAGCGGAAGCGCTGATGAAAGAGCATCAAGGCCTTTTCAAAACAGACACAAACAAATTCGATGAGCATCTGCACGATGAAAACTTCATGAAATTTAATACAGACAAGGTATAGATAAGTCACTTCAATCCAGAATTGTGGTTTCATCATTACATACGATATTACACGACAAAATTAGGTATCCGAGTGGTAGAGGTCCACGCAATGTTTGGCCATTCCGAGTCCGTTTAAGTATCCCAGTCCGCCGGCACCATAGTTATGAAAAATGCTGCCCTTGGGGGTAACCTCTTTCTCTATCCTTGCTCCACCTTCCCTTGAAGGACGAACAGCTGCAACGACTCTCAACAACTCGAGGTCACTTATCGATTTACTATGAAGTAATTCCGGGTAGAGTCTCAGAGTTCTGTCGATGATATCCTGGGTCTCACTGGATAATGTTTGCTGGTTTGCGTTATGCGGTTGGTAGAAGCCACCGAGGATCACCTCGTGGTTCTTGGAGTGAGGCCTCGGTATAATGTAAGTCGAGCTTTCCTGCTTCCATTCTGTCACCACCGATTTAATGCTTGGATCACTTATGACTACAACCTGACCTCGTGTTGGAAAGATCTTCTTGTCGCCAACAAGCTCAGCTGCTCCTAGACCTGTGCAATTGAACACCGCAGTGGTGCCTTCTAGGAATGCTTCATCGAGTTTGGATAGGCACCTCACGACTGTTCTTACGCCCATCTTTTTGAAGGCTTCAAGAAGATTAAGGGTTAGCAATGGTGGATTAAAAGTGATGCCGGTAAATGACGCCATGGTGGAGCATCCAGGCGACAGTGACCGAGAAATTGTGATATCAGGGATGAACTTCATTATATCTTCTACCTCAGACTGGTCAATTGTTTCAGCAAAGTGTTCTATGGTATGCGTCTTTTCAATTCCGGGGAGCTTCTTTCCTATGAACTTGCGAAGTAAGTCGTAGCTCTCGTAAGTATAGCGACAGAATTTTGTCGTTTCAACGAATGGCGTGAAGTAAGCACCCGCGTTGGGAGATGTGTAACGGAAAGATTGGTCACCGGGTAAAAACTCAGCGATTATGGTTATGCTATCAGGATCAATTCCCTTGTTGAGGAGTTCAAAAGTAACGTATAAACCAATGATGCCCGCTCTTATGTTAGCAAAGTGTAGGTATCAATCAATTGAAGCTTCACATACCCAACTACCACGTGCTTTGTCATGATGAAAAGTTGAAGATGTTGATGTTTGATGTGTAGTATGTGCATCAAGGTATGCGCTCGGGGTCTCGTCACTGCATGCTGATAACAGTTTGCTGCATTAGTTGGAACCAACATGATAGAATTAAATTAATCCGCTCAAAGTGAGTTTCTCCAAGAATGGCAGTAGGTCGTCTTTACGAATTTCGATGATCGAAGACTCAAAGCTATTGATTCTCACCTTCGCATCCGATGATGCAGCAACTCTTTGGAATGCAACGCTGAAGGTATTAAGACGAGTCATGAAAGTAGAATCATGTTGATGTGGTCTGTCTTTGGTTTCTTGAGCGATCTTGGCTTTTGCGGAATTATCAAGTCCCCTTGGATATTTTGGTGCAAGACCAATGACAAGGTATGTGTCTGATGCAGGGTCCAAACTGGCTAGGACGAGAGGTTTCAATGCATTTGAAAGAGACTTGTCATTCTTTGAGGCGAGATTTAAAAACTCGAGCTCATTGATGTTCTCTAAAAGCCAATTGCCCAACTTTGTGAGAATGAGCGGGTTGTTGAACATGCTCAAGTCGGGAATCGATCCATCATTCAAGACGCAAAGTCTATAAAGTCGTAAGTTTTTCATGAGCTTTCTTTCCAAGACAGACATGCCTGTCTTGAAGATGATTTGCTGGATATCTTTTGCCTTTTCAAGGCCCCTCATCAAAAGGTCGTAACCCTTTAACTTCTTGGAACTCAAAGCTGAGGCTAATGAGTTTGTGTTAGAGGATACAATTCTTGAAGCATTGCCATGATTGTTCATGTTAAGCGCATCCCAAGAGGACCAAAAGTTGTTGACCCATAGCTTCTCCTTTCTTTCGATCTTCTCGTTGATATCCTCGTCCTTGTCGTTATTCTTATCCCCACTAATCCTTTCGTCGGCCTCAAGAAGGGCAACAAGTGCTTCAACACATTCCATGGCAGATAGTTGTCCAACGAAGCCGAAGGTTCTCACAAATCCATCTCTCACTATGCCCTCAAGTCCGTAAAGAGGTAGGTATTTGTTGAAAATGGTGGGCAAGTTCTTTTTGACGGAGATATCCATGTAGAGCCACTTCTGTTGGGCAACCGAAAGGGAAATGCCCATTTTAGCGAACAACTTGTGAAGCTTTTTCCTGCCATCCTCGGTCCAAAGATTGAGTTTGGAGTTCACTAGGGATGAATAGAAAAATGAGTCGTATAGCGTCCAGTGACGCAACAAGAACAAGTGATAATCCTTCTCTATCGATAGGGCTGTGGAGTCTGCAGATCTCTCAGTGCCGGCGTTCGATGGGTTGAGTCGATGAACTTCCTCCAGGAATAGAGGTTGTATTTTGTCATAGACCTCTGGATGAAGTCGATCAAGGGATGATGCACCAATGATAGAGAGCCAAAGATTATCTATGCTAGTTTCACCAATTGTGGCCAATAATGCATATATGATGGCGGTTGTGGCTGTCAATACAGCGGTTCCCTGGTTGTAGTAGGTCTCAATGACATTCTCGCTCGCATTGAGCTCCTTCCTCCTCTGTTTTCGTATCTTTTTATTTTCGACTTCTTCAAGACGGCGTTTTCTGTTCTCGCCAGAGTCATCCGTGACCACACCACCATCGTCTTCGAAATCTTCCGCATCCTCATCTTCTATGACTTCAGGTTCGTCAGACTCCTCACCACTGGATTCATCACTGGACTCATGATCGGACGCGTCCACCAACACCTTAAAGCTTTCTCGTTCTTGTGCCAAGTTCTTGTCTATGTATCCGTCGTCAAAGCAGACTACCATATGTGAACCGAAAACATTGTCCAAGTTCCACGGCCTGCTTCCATCCATGATGTATATCTTTCTGCTGAATGATGGGCCTTGATCTGGCTCTTCGAGAGGCTGTGAGTGATTCAACGGCATTGGGTCTTGCGATGTAACATAGTCATTTGGATCGATCTCGAAGAAAGACTCGATATCAACCATGGCTCCACAGCCTATGAGAATGACATTCGACACTTCTGGATCGAGTTTAAGGTAATGCTCTTTCAAATCGGCATAGCCAGCAACTGGAATAAGCTGGTATTGGATGAGGTTCTTTTTCAATACTAGACTCAATATCTTAGCCGTACATATGCTATCAATGCTGAGACACGAGACAAACAATATAAGCTTGCATGTGGAATGGGAAGATGATGTTCGTTTGATATCAGAAAACACCTGCGAATACTGGGAAGGGTTTATGTACATTAGGAAGGGTGTTTTTATGCTTGGTTGCCCGGTCGAAGCTGCAGTATGGTCAATGATGCTGAAGAGTAGTAGGATCACGGTCACGTGTGTCTGTAACAAAAATAAGACACTCGCGACGCGACTGGAAAGAGTAGGGCTACCAAGAAAGGCTTAGAAAACCGTACATCGTAAATTTTTTTCGTCGTAAAACCGTAGTTGCAAAACTGTTCATGCTTTTCTTCCATCAAACATAGGAGAAACTGCCGATACTACGGCGAGCACGCACGTTAATGTCCCAGGTGACAATGCCACCATCCTCGCAACCAATATACAACTGATTCTCGAGCCAGTCCAAGCCGGACAACTCCATTTCACCGTGAATATGATTGACTGATTGTTGGTAGGAGTCATGACAAGAATAACGTTGCTGAGGAGGCGAAGAGTCTGCCATATTAGTATCGTGCGACATACCTTGCCCTGCCTCCAAGTCCAAGCGTTGTCTGACATCGTGGGGATCAACGGAAACCAGGTTCAGGTGGCGGGGCTGGGCCTCTTCCTGATTAGAAACGCAATCGTTGTTGATGGAACTAGGGGTAGAATTCCACTGTGGGTGGTTGAGCTCCGGAGGTGCCAAGGTGCCGTCATCCTCGTTGCAGACGGGCATTGGCTGTGGCTGATAGACGTAATCCTTGAACAACTTTGGATTCTCTTCCGCGAGATAGTTGTAGTCATAGACCAAAGGTGCAGAAAAATGGGACTGTGACTCGTCGAAAATGTCAAATCTCTTGTGCTTGTCCACATTCTTTTCATTCATGTCATCATCAACACTGGCGAAACTGTGCTTTCTTTGGGAGTTCATGAGCTTGTCACGCACGCTGAGCCTCTCGTGTTTGTGGCGACCATACTGGTCTAATGCAAAAGGGAATACAAGCACCTGTTGGTTGTCCTGGTCGAGGTCACGAAGGTCCACTAAATGAACTCTTCCAACATGCTCTGAAATGACAAGCAAATCTTGAATCGCTGTGTGTAAAAACTTACAACAGCGGAAAGCGCCAGATTGGTGGCCTGGTCTTGTGGATTTGACCTCATAAAGGGGCTCTTCTGTGGCTTTCCTTAGGTCAAAGAGCAAGCATGCACCTTCCTGGAATGCCACTGCCAATGTGTTTTCATTATTATGGTACGAAATACCGAAACCAGAGTCGTAAGCAGTTCTGATGACCTCGACTTGCGGCTTCGGCGACTTGGGATCGAGTAAGAAGATGGAGCTGGAGTCTCCTGTGGCTGTTAGGAGTCTTCCGTCCGGCAGCTGGTGGACGTTATTAAGTGAAGTGTTGTTTTCGCAAACCAACTTCCGGTCTGCGCTGATTCTGCTGTTTGCAATATCCAATACGTACAAATTGGAGTCGTTGTTGCATACGTAGGATGTGAAATGAGAGTCTCCACCCGGGTAGTCTGGGTAAACCGTGACGGCATTGTTTATCATCTCACCTAACTTGAACGTGAGATCTCCCTCGGTGTATGGAGAATAGAAGGAGAACAAGCCCTTGGGCAGCCTGTGGGAGGAGCCTGGAATGGATTTGGTCAAGTCGGGGATGTCCATGGAGAACACCTTGGACAGGGAGGTAACCACGCCACCTGTGACAATGTGACCACCTGCGCTGTGATTGAAACATCTGGGAAAGTACGGTAGGCTCAAGTAATCGTGGGATTTGAGGGTTTCTTCATACAAGGGGAACACCAGCAACGCTCTGATCGAGTCGTCTAGCGTGTGATAGATACTTCCCGTGTAAGCATCAACCTGCACCAAGTCCCTGAGCTGCCAGTGGTTAACCGATGAACGGACGTTCGAAATATACGTTGGTTTCGGCTGGAGATACTTGAGAGCGTTGTAGTAGTTCTGGAAGCACTTATAGTTGGAGGTGACGGAACGACGACGCTCCATACATGACGACCTCCTCCTATCATAGACACTTTCGGATATCGATATGGTCATAGTGCTAGCAAAATGTTAGGAGTTCGGGTAATTTTGGGGGTCCTTGCGTTATATATGACCTGAGGAGTGGAGGTGAGGGAGGCAGAAAAAGGAAGGTGAGCGGCAGGACAAGAATGCAGGGGAGCTTGGCTGCAAAGTGCTGGATCGAAAACAGAAATTACAACAGAAACTATTTTCTCAAGAAGCTCTAAAACTACTTTATCAAGTAAACAAAGACTACGCTGGATTGCTTTTTGGTTACAAAAACCCCTGTATCGTGCCCCTTAGACCGTGAGTATACTGCGGCGCTTCATATGACCAGAGTGGGGTGCGACCACGGAAACCCTTCGAGGTGACATGTTTTCGACAGCCTAGCTGATAAGCTCGTAGCACGGTTGATTACCATTGGTCCATAACCCTCGACACTACATAAGGTTAGGGGTACCGAAAGTACGTCTCTTTTGTACTCTCGAAAGCTCGGATTTCCCCAGCAATGTCGCGCGACATCCCTCTATTATCTCTGTGGAGAATCTCGGTAATCAGCTTCTAAGAAGCCATCCTGCAGGCGCCCCAGGATTTCCATGCCACTTTTAATCATACTATGGATAGAGTCATGCGACTGAATAAAAGGCTTCTTCCAACAATAGTAAAAGGTATTTATGGTCGTGTGGGTTTTCAGGGATTCCAGCTCGATGGTATTGTCACATAAGATGCAGTTATTTTTTTAACAAGGCCAAATATTCGGCGGTAGAATGTAGCTTTTCTTTCTTTTTCTGTGCACTATGCAGGCTATTACATAGTTGTACTTTCATACTGACGTCATGAGAGGACTCTGTCAATTATCGGAGTCCCATTTGTAGGAGTCAGCCGGGAACCTGTCTAGATTGACCGAATGTGTACAATGGTCCATTTTGTGTTTTCCAACATTGAGCTAACTTGGGCCGTTCAGGAAAAAGAAATTACATTCTCGCCTACTCAGGGTCCCAGTGCATTCTGACACAATTGGTCCTGATGTTCACACCTTTTGGTGTAAGTTTCGAGTTCAAGGCGAATTGCACATGTAACAGACTTTCAAAAAGAATCATTTGGGAAGTTTTTTTTGAAGTTGCTCGAAATTTCTTATTGAAAAGCAAGGAAAGTTAGATAAGGCTTAGCCACATCGCGAAACCTGTAAGCTTATCGTCGTCAGACCTGAACAGGGCAAAGCTCTGCGTAGACTTTCTACATTTGTTTGAATCATTTCAAGAGTAAACAGTTTATCCATTTCATTCCCCATGTATTTTCTACTCTACCTTGAGTGAAATTGTATAGAATGTTGTTCTGAAACAGAGCTCTTACAGCTTTTCATCTACGCTATTTTAGCATGAATCTCAAATGCTTGATCTCTTAAGTGACTCTAGGTATTCTCAGATTGAGTTCTTAGAGGGTCGAGCTGCTTGTAGGAGTAGAGATTATCCAGCCTTCTTCGGGTGCAACAAGCTGGCATCTCCTAATATTCTTAACTCGTAATATTTGTCGAAGACCGATATAACATCAGAATCAAAGTGACAGAGGCACGCGCTTGTAGTTTGTGGGAATATGTCAACTGGTAATCTCATTGTCACCGAGCCCTTACGATGGTTTAATCTCTCTTTATACTTTATTTTTATTAACCGATGACCGACGACCTTGACCACCTGGAACCAGAGTGGTATAGCTTTTTCTTGAGCGCCGAGTGCGTCACTGAACGCGTGAAGCTTGATCTACCTAAATCCCATTTTTTACTTACAACTTTCCTTGCCAGGCCCTCTTGACCCAGCCACAGTCTCTAATCTCGTCATTCTTAGCGTCCACCTTGTAATTCTTCTCTGGATCATCGTACCGTCTATCAAAATCGCCTGCGGGCTTCGAAATGCACACGAAATCACCGTTTGGTAATGGACACCTCATTTGAGATGAAGGGAAAGGGCAAGGACATTTCTTTGGACTTGAAACACACTCTAAGGTATCTGGACACAAGTATTTTTCGCACTGGCTGTCTAGGACCTTCTGTTCATAAGAAGGTCTGTCTCCCTCACCGTGATGGAACTGGTTTTGAATGAAATCAAATATGCTTGCGGATACGAAATTTGCAAGAACAAATAGTAAAAGGGGCTTGAAAAGCGGTTGCATTGGTTGATGAGTGGTGTCTATTTAATGAAAGGTGTAGGTAATTCTGGGTTGAGGTGGCCAGCCTGGAGAAGTTGGGTACGTCTGACTATACAGGAATGGGTGCAAAATCCACCCGAACCAGGAAGTTGGGATTCGGCTGCCCACCCCAAATGAGTGACCGCTACAAATAAAAGGTATATTGAGGCTCTTGTCTTGCCAATGATAGCACTTGCCTTTAAGGTCGAATGTATCGATGATGGCTAATAAAGCATCTAGAAAAGAGTAATGGAAAAGTATACTCCTCACGTTTCTTTTCGTATCCATGGTGGAGCATACTGATTTTATTGCTGAAATGAAGTCCTCTGACACACCGGCCCCACTGCAACTTGATGAGTTCTACTTCACCAAAGAAGCCACCACTCCTGAGCTTTATGGTGAAAACGATTCCTTTGAAGTACCATGGAACGAGGCAGAAACTCCTCCAACCAGCGCTTCAAGAAGTGAAGAAGAATTTGAATGGGATGGTGAGATGATTTGTGACATTTCCCACTCATATCGGAGTATCAGAAAGTACGAAATCAACCTACTTCGTTATAAGATAGAGAAGGACGCCATCAAGAGTGACGGTGGAGGCAATACTATATACTTTGGTGAATTCAGTCAGTGTCCATTTAATGAAGAAGACTCGCCAATTGACCTATTCTCGCAGAGCCAAGCCAATCTACCAGTCTCGGATTGTAATCCAAGATCTATAGTGAGACAGAGGAACAGCAATGACCTAAAGCTTGCTTGGAATTTTCCATCTCAGTTACCTCTTGAGTTCCCGATGATTGCCGAATCGTTGTCAATCGATGCTGAGAAGAAACAGATCATCTCAACCGCTGACATGGGGCACTTATACCACGCTGGGTCTCGATATATAGACAGTATTGCTGACAATATGGTTTTGCTCATGAATATGGCTTTCGGCTGCTGTAAAGCATTTACCCTCGAAAGAAAGAGACTTATCGGAGTGACTTCGAGAGCCATATATCTTCTTTGCGATGAAAATAATATTGTCGGAGAATTTGGCGCAAAATACTATCAATCCCAGGTGGATGAAAGCTTTGCAGATTGTGAAAGACTTCAGACTAGTCTTCTCAAGGTACGCAAGGATGTTGAAATCAAGCTCTCTTTCTTTCAAAACCACGCGCAGGGCACTGTTCGTCTTGTGGAAAATTTGTTTAATGTTGACAGCTGTGTACTCAAGGCCCATCAACACTACCTCTCTTGCACCGAGGACTTGTGTTTTGGGAATGGAGAGTGCTATTTTCCACAATTACCAGCGTATCATAATACGATGAAGTTTTTGAGATCTCAAGACCCTCATACCGTGGTGGCTGATCTTCAAGGGGAACTAGCCTCCATTCTCAGAAACATGAAAGATGTTGAAGAAAGCTTGGTCACAGTCATAGATGCACATCGTCAATCCATTTCGGCTGACTCACGCGTGGTCCAATATCAGAACGCACGTCTACTGTGAAAAAAAAAAGGTCTACAAAGAATGAAATTCACACGTTATTCGTATTATTAAATTCAATTAAAAGTGTAGAGTACGTCAGCGAGTGGCCATGTATGCAGCCTTGGCTTCATAAGAATCCTTGGACTTCTCGTCATATTTTCTTGGTTTCGTCTCCTCTGGATTAATGTGTTTGCTGCACTTGAACGCATTGAGCGCTTTGCTCTTCACCAGAGCCAAGCTCGAGATAACAGACCGTGTCTCGGTGTTGTCGGATGAAATCGACTTTCTGTCGGAAGAAATGGAGTGTTTGGACATAGCTTTTGAGTGGGATGCGTTATTGCCAGCCCATTTATATACTGATCATTTTTGCCACTAGCTTAATTGGGATTCTGACAAATACAAATACCGGGTAGGCACTGCAGAGATCCAGCTGCTGGAGGGTAATTGTCTCCTCAGCCGTTCTTTAAGCCCCATCGATACGTCAGCAGGTCATGCTACAGATTAGAAAAAAACTACAATTATCCGTGTGTACTTTGGGTAATTCTACAAAAAAAGCATTGATACCTGAACACTGACGGGCTGTCCAACACTAGGCGTGCAAGGCATCATTTGGCCGCTAAGAAGCTCGTAGAATCAGTATGTTGAGCCGCAGTATGGTTACGGATGCTAGCTTGACATACTGCAGATGCATATTGTGGATTACCAGTTTACGAAGCGGTGGGGAGGGGGCCTAGAAGCCATGTTCGGAGACGGAGCATCCGTACAAGTACTGCCGTGAGCCACCGTGATCCAATTTTCTGCAGAATGAGTCACAAAAACAGTTGAAGCCATCTTTGCAATTTCCGAAAAGCGTAGAGGATTTCTCAAATCAATGAGTACCCCAGAGGCTCCCTGCGCAATGAGTCAGCCAAAGCTACCGCACGTACATTACGAGGCCTCCAAAAACGTGTACAGTACGTCACAATGGCTTCTCTATCTGATTCAGCTTTAAATATTTCAATCTTACAGTGTAACAGCTCATTAGATTGGTGTCTGGTTTAGACCGGCAAAAATAAAAAAAGAACGGGGCGAGCTGGGAATTGAACCCAGGGCCTCTCGCATGTTTGCATGTCGGTCAAGTTACCTCAACCGTCGCCCAAAGCGAGAATCATACCACTAGACCACACGCCCGATTTCCTGAGTGTAGTACAACGCCCCTCAACTATGAGTGTTAAAACCTATGTTTCCTCAGCTCTGCGTGATGCGTTAGTGGGAATTGAAACATGAAACATTAAAGATACAAACAAAAATGTGGTCTCAGCCAGGAAAACCCCGCCTGCGGCTCTGGCGCGAGATCTGTACTTTTGGATTTTTTTGAAAATGTCCTTAGAACTCGTCGCTGTGAAGATGTAGCTGCGAATCTAGAAATCACAATGTTTCACACCGCAAACAATGCGGGATTATGCCCACCCTTTACAATTAAAAAGATAGCCGGGTTTGCTAAATCAAAATGTATCATTCATCCACAATGGCAAATTTAGCCAGTTGTTCCAACGAGTTTGGTATTTTTCCAAGACCCGCATCATTCCAGTTGGACCGACCGGTGAGGTTCCTGCATTGTCGATCCGGGAACCGATAACCCAAAGAGCCAAAACTCAAGATTTGATTGAAAAAAAAAATAAAAAAAAAAATAAAAAAAGAAATAAAAAAAGAAATAAAAAAAGAAAAGAAAAATCATGAAGATGCAAATGAGGGATAAACTCAGCAAGATGATATCCAGCAAGGATTTCGAAGTTCAGCGCTAATCTGGAACCACTCGACACCTCAGCACAACCTAAGTCCCGATCTTCTGGGACTTGCACTGTCGGAACCTTGGGGATCTTATTCATCGGTTCCACGATACACGAAATTACCGTAGGCCCTAAAATAACTTTTGCACTTCAAACGATGGATAGGTGAGAGCAAATTTGATCAAGAAGCACCTCACGGCATTGACAACCTCCCAAAAGATGATGTCAGCATGAAAAGGTAATTGGTAACAAATTATATCTCTGCGATAAATCATTCTAGCTAACTCGTGTAAGAATTCACAGATCAAGACAAGAAGAAAGGCAATGAGTTTGTCAAAATCGTCTAGTAGATCGGGTACTAACCACATAACCATGTCTTCATTCTAAAAGATTGTTAGATAAAAATTATGGCCTCCAAGATATAAAATTTGCAAGCATAATAATTTCATCGAACAAATTCGGCAACCAATTTAAGATGGAATTCAAGGTATGTGGCACAGCTCTCATTAGAAACGCCAAAGGGTAACCCCTTAATCTTTGAAAGTTTCACTCTTTGAAGGCTTCACAGGTCCGTACTCGCTTGTAACTGTGAGATTGCAGATTTATAAAGTGTGAAGGTGCCCCAAATCGAGCTTATTTCTTCGCTATAGACTGCCATTTCAAAATCGAATCATATGCATTAAATATTAAGTTGTGGGACAATTTTTTCTAAAAAAGGAACTATTGGATTAAGGATATCAGGCACTCGCGCCATGCCTCTGTAACTTTCTCATTGAATCTTCTACCTCGAAGCGAACTTCTTGAAGAGCACGCAGCTCTGAGCGAACACCGAACCCCCAAATAAGCCCATTTATGACACCCGACACTGCAATTAAAGTGCTTGCGAGCGAGAGAAGCACAGAAGACCATGCTTGTCTCTGCGAAGCAAAGGTGATGCCGACGTGTATGGCGATAACGAGTATGATGGAGATGAAGAAATGGTATTTGCGCCAATTTGCTTGAAACGGTATGGTTTCACGGAGGTACCAAGAAATTTCTTCATGGGTTTCACGATACAATGAGAAGAGCTCTTCGCTGCTGTGGTCGTCGTGGTGATTAGTTACGTCCCGTTTGTTTACCACGAGATCCACCGCAAAAGCAAAGTGATCAGATGCCGAGCATGAGATAGGAGGAGGGAGTGTCTCCGTGAATCTCACTGCTGCCAGAACTGGAGTGAGGGTTTGAGAATCAATTAAAACGTAATCAAGGCGGCAAGCTTCGTGTGGCTTCCGGTGAGGGTGCCATGTGTTGAAGACAGAGTTGCAGGTGACTCCCGCCTTGAGAATCTGATCCCCAGGATGCATGCGAGCAATTTCTTCAGGCAGAGGATTGCGATCTCCTTTTAAAATTTCCCATGAGTCGGCCAAGCCGCCTTCGATGGTGAATAGCTTGTAGGGCAACAGGCCTGGTTTCGAGTTGAGATCTCCGACTTGGATGACCGCATAATTTGCTTGTTTCAAGGTTTTAACCAACTTGGCCATATCCCACGCCTGGCAAGCTCTATGAGTTGAATAGGCAGCATCGCCCAGAGAGGCGTATGGAGCATGCATGTGTGAATTGAGAAGAGCAATAGGAGGTGTCTCCGGCGTGAGCGGCTCTAGGATGGTGATTGCTATGGACTTGCCCACTAGCCAGTCACCTCTAAAGAATGCACTAGGTCTTCCGTTTATGGGGAAGCGATATAGGAAGGAGTTGTTGATGGGTATCTTCAGAAGAATGGCCAAGCCAGGTCCAGCCACTATTCCGGAACGGAAAAGACGACGGTAGGGAAATTCGAGGCGGCACTGTTCATCAATGTAGAGCCAGTCTTCCTCCACCCAGACTTCCTGGAGTGCCACCACGTCGTAGTCGCTAGAGGCGAGCTGGTTTGCTATCCAGCGAAGTCTGGCTTTTCTATGTTTTGCGATGTATTTGAGGCCCCACGCATTTAGCGTTAGAAGACGCAACCGATGCTTTTCCATGGGTTTTCCGACCTTTTTTTGAATATATGGGAAAAGAAAAAGTGCTCAAAGCCGCCTCGGAACAATAGCGTAGCCGATGTTTATCTTTCCTGTACGCCAGCAGTGATGACAGTGTTTGCTCTATCGTCAAAGGGGCTGCGATAGAGCTCACCGGACTCAAAATTAAATCCTGCAAAATTACTAGAAACTTCAAATTTTTGAAAGTAACCGGCGGCCTGTTGGATGGAGCGATCTAGCAAAATTCGTAGCTCCAAATGTGTTTCACTTATTAGCATCTGCGCATTTCCAGTTAAATCCGTAAACACAGTCCATGACCAAACGTTATATGGTCGATAAGGCTACCAAGTATCATGCGGGAATTTTTTTGAAAGCTTTCTCGATATGACGCATCTTTCAATTTCTAGACTGCTTTTTTTTCCACTAACCTCTAATTGGTTAGTATCATAGACTTGCAGCTGCCTGTGAGTAGCATTATCTACGCATGTTCTTGCGCGCGGAGTGCAGTATACACAAAATACTGACATGGAAACCATAACATCATCACCATAACCAGATGAGTCTTACCACACCAGCAGTACAAGAGTTCAATCTGCTCCTTAAGGAGATGGAGGATTTTACTCTGCGATTCCAGACCTTTACTCTACAAAAAAAGCTGGTCATCCTGTCATCAAAGCTGCAACATATCAACCGAGTGAAGGAGTTTGAGAAAAGGGCACGATCTCTACAAGCGGAAATAAAAGTAACGACAGAAAAGTCAGAGAAAACAGAAGCTCTAGCAGCTCAGTCATTGCTTGATCTTCAAGCAAGGCAAGAAAAAGTCGACGCTCTCACGGCCCAGCTGGAGAGCAGATTAGCTGCAAAGGATACACTCAATCGAGACATTGACAATTTGAGAAAAGAGGTGGCCGAGCTCGAGAATATTTTGAAAAACACTCGATCCACGCTAGGTGACCAAGCACTCAAGGACGCTGAGGAGCTCACCAAATTCGAACAGTACTTGGGTTTGAGAATCGAAGCAGTTGACATCGATCTCCTCAAGTTCAAATTTGTCAATATCGATCCCAACAATGTTGATCGTGAGGTTTGGTGTGAGCTAAATGTGGCGGAGCAAGAATACAAGGTTGGGCTCACGAATCCAAACTTGCCCCGCGATGTCATTCTTCGAATACAGAAAGATCTCAATACGCATGGTGAACTTGTGATATTTCTTCAGCTGATGCGGAATGCTTTACGTGCTGAAGTTTCCTAATTCATCAAGGAGCTTTTGTTAAAAGGAGGCACTGCCGCATTGATGAAGGCTCATGTTTTTTTGTGCCCTTCTTTATACTGTCTTTTTGAACGCTATTGTGGCCCACTGTGGCTTACTGCCCCAGACAAGGGTTTTTCAGACATTAAAAGAGTTACAAAGTTCAACTTTTTGGAACAATTTCGTGATGGGCCGAAACCCAGTGATTGCGAACACAACTGCTATCTACATCGAAGACACCGACTCATATTACTTTTTTGAGGATCACGTTCAGAGGTCTAAATGGAAAGCATGGCTTGGGCAGAAGCCTCCGGTCAATATGATAGAGTTTCAACTAGGCTCCGACCAAGAAACTATCCCCATTGAATATTACCCTCTTGTGACAGTGTCCACAGAATTAAGCACACTGGATGCCTCCGTGGAGAGAGAAGTGACGCGAGGGTTTGGGATATCATTCTCGCTTGATCTGAGGGTAGACAACGACATTGTAATCGCTGGAGTCAAGACGGGCTTCAGCTCACTATACTCTCTTGACTTTTCCTTGCTGCAAGCCATGGTCTGCAGGGCACCCAAGGGTGGGAAGGTGCAAATGCAAGTCAGTGCCAACCTATTGTACTTTCCCTTAGCAAGAACGAGGAGAGTGTCGTATGTCCAAGCCTCCCAAAACTTTGAGTCTGGAGACTGGGAGGTAGTAAGCTCTGCTATAGAGAATGAAACTTACGAAGGTGCAATGTTTTATTCATTGAGTTCGATCGCTCGACAGCGTTGTGTCACCGATCCGATGCATTTCAAAAGCTCCAAAACTCCTTGGCTTTCGCATCTACCAAGACCTTCCATCTGACAAAACGGTGCATGACACGATGTGCTCGAACCAAAATTAATGAAGCAATAAACGACGTTTTCGAAATCTGTCCCTCTGGTTAACACCATCGCACTCTGCGTCTGACACTAAATGTGTGCCGGAGATAACGCACCACGAAAAGGTCCGAAAGTCATGTCCCAAAGCTCATATCGTACATAACTGCTCATGGAATGGAAGCTCATGGAATTAAAGCAAGTTGGCGACGATAAACTCTAAACTTTTTTTTCTTAGCTTTTAATCTCGTATCTCCGGTTTGTGGCAACACAATGCGGACCCGAACGCGGGGCCGTTGCTTACTTAAGTCACATGTACTTTCTCAAGACTTAATAAGCGAGACTCCTTCAGCTTTACACAACACTCCAGAAAAACTCGCTAGAAAATAACATGAGTGACCATTCGAAGAGAATTGCCTCTCATATGAACAAGGACCATCAATTGGCCTTGGTTGATTATGTCGTGGTGTATGGTAAGATCCCAGCTCATCAACTCGAGCCTGCCAGCGTTCATATTACTGCCGTTGATGAAAAGTCTGTTACTCTTTCTTACAAGAGAAACGATAGAGTTGAAGAGGTTGTTCTCGTGTGGAATGAGCTTCCTGAGGAGGACAAGGTGGACGTCAATGGGTTTATGGACATCAAGGCCAAGTTGATTTCGATGGCCAAGTATGCTGCCGCTGTGCAAGGATATTCACACAAGCAGTTGAAGAAAGTAGTCTTGCCCAATAAGCCTCAGCAGTGGTTAATGTATCCCATTGCTGCTGTTCTTGCAATTGGATCCTTCGATAAGTATTTTATCAGAGACATTATTGCTAGGGACACTTTCTTGTCCCAATTGGCCTCATATGCTCCATCTTTCTTGAAATCTGGCGGTGCTTTCTTAGAGGACCATGTCAAGACTATTGCTATTGCAATGTATGCCATTCATTTGGTGGAAATTGCTGTCGTGTCTTGGCCTAAGTTGAAGCAATACAGAGCCTCTGGTAAGAGAAAGTTAGCATGGGCTGTCATGCACTTCTTTGAAGGCTTTCTTATTTTCAAAAGACTCAACAAAGCTTTGGAAGATGCCCATTAAGTACTGATATATGACTATGGATATGAGTCGAGCAGTTATGTCTTTGTAGTTTGAACGGTACAATGAGACACCGAATTTCCTGAAACGATTTTAAATTTACATTTTTAACTTTGCCAGCAATTGTAGCCATACCTTTTCTGCTTCGTGTATCCTTTTATTATCTTGTCAAAATGATTCACACGAACGTCTTTTCTTGCAAGCTCCTAATCCACGTTTGATTGTCATATGGTCCTATAATTTGATACCAGCTGTATCGAACAGCGAAGCACAAGGACCATGAAGTAATATTTAGTATTGGTAATTTGAAATGTGACATGTTTGATATCCGTTGCAATTCTTCCTTATTTATCCAACTTCTTTCTTTTATGTAAGCGCGTGGTAGCCAGCTTCATTCTCTTTCCAAGAGCGGCATCCTTGTTGTATGAGATATATTCCTGAGGGAAAAATTCACCAACTGTGGTCTGTGTGCCCTCCGTTCTCTTCTTGTTCATGTCCCTTATAAGCGGTAACATTACCTCATCCACCCGTGATTGACTCCACCCAACATTATACATGAGAAAGGAACGTATCTGATCTAGATTTGGTACGCCCCACTTAAATTCACTCGTGTCTCTGTCCACCTCCGGGTGAGTGTAGGCCTGAAAAACGATATGGTCAGGGAAGTTATCTGGAAGAAACAACTTCCCGGATTTGATACGTTTCAAAAGATTTTTTTTGAGTTTGGAATCTGGATCCTTTGGCTGTGAAAATCCCCGGGCATGCTCATCGAACCACCGCTTGAAGCTTTTGAGATCCTCGAACTCTGCTAATATTTCCATGGCTAACACAGGCCCTATACCCTTGATGCCTTCGGTGTAGTCGCTTCCCAATAAAAGCGCCAATTCAATTAGCTTGGTTCTGTCAAGTCCAATCTTGTGATCGATCTCTTCATTAAAATAGCATTCCACATATTGCTTTTGGTTGAACATATTCTTGTAGATTCTACTGCCTCCAAAAAGAAAACAGTCGCTATCGTCAGTAATGATTCCATCTACCATTTGGAGACGGTACAACTCGGCACATTGGGCCTCCGCCTCCATTGGAGCTGTGATGAACGGAATGCCAAACCTTTTCAAAAGCTCCTGAACATCTTGTATCATCGTTTGGGAAACCTCATCAGAGTCTCGTTTGGCTTTTTGTACACGTTCCTGGTATAGCTGCTCATCTGAAATTAGTGAAGTTGTTGAAATAGGAATATGATGTTTTGTCTTCATCTCAGTCGCAAATTCTTCGTGCTGGTTATCCTCCTCACGGAGCTGATTCATCATTTCAGCTTCTTCATCCTCTTCCAACTCATATTCTAGCACAGCTGGTCGTTGTGGAGCGGACTTCTCTGCTATTTGTTGTGTCGGTCCTTGAGAGTCAAGTGTAGTGCTCTGCCTCCTGTCTCGGACAGTTATATCGTCATGCGTCAGAGCCTCCAGTTCTTGATCATCATCCTTTTGATTTTGTCCTTTCTCAGAAACTTTTTTTTCATGCTGGATCATCGATGGTTTGAATTTGGTCTGCGTGGTAACATCGCTTTTGTGCTCATCCTTTGAAAAGCTCTTTTCATTTGTTATCTCCACGTCCGAGCCCAGTATTTCATCTTCAATAAGGTCCTGCTCATTCACGATTTCCACGTCGGAGTGCTCTTGTTCGAGTGGTGAACCTGGGCTCTCTTTTGTGTCTATGAGATCCCTGGCTTCAGAATATGAAATCAATCCCACTTTCTCGTCTTCATTTATAGGCCGAGTACTTTGAACTTCTTGCGTAAAAAATCTATCACCTGAATGTGGTTTTTCGATTTGAGAGACACTATGGTCGAACCATGAAGGCATTGCATGAGAGCTTTGAATAGGTTGAGGAGAACCCAGAGTTTCGAAAGCTGCACACTCATCAGCGTCTTCCTTCTGCTCATCGCTTGAATCGATTTTTTGAGACCGAAATAGCATTGAGCTGCTCAAGTCTGGCTTGTTCTCATCTAGATCAGTCTCTTGAATAATGACATCTTCTTCCTGCTCAGAAGTACCTACCGGTGATTTCTTTTCCGTCGTTTGACTTCCCACATTTCCATTGAGACATGAACCTTCCTCGTAATCATCTTTATACATGCCGTAGATTGATTGAATGATAGCTCGTGAGCTTTCCTCATCATCTTCTTGCTGATGAGCAGGCACATCTTCGAATTCTTCATCGCTATCACTAGAAGCTGCAGTGTGGCTGTCCCCTGTCTTAATTTGCGTTTTATTCTTTTCCAGGTCATCATCAAAAGATGACATTAATGAGCGCTTTATTTCCCCATTGTCGTCAATTTCAATAAGGTCCCCATCTCCATCTCCCAAGGATAGAGTCCACCCATCCTCGTTCTTCACGAGAGCATAGTGTCGGTCCTTGTCTCCAGCGATTCGACGTGTGATATTCCCACTATCTTCCAGCATTCCACTGACGGTCATGAGTCTTTGGGTGTAGAAGTTTCTCTTCTTGACTTGATCAATCTGAAACTTCGAGAAATCTTTGCTATTTGGAAATAGCCCTTCCAACTGGTCCTTTGAATACCCTAGTCTCAACCTGGATCGTAATCTGAGGTGAGACAAAATCATATACTGAGTTGCTAATGGGAGTTCGGTGAACTCTTTGGAAGAAGGATCGACCGAGTCAATATTGATCCCATCTACTGTATCAAAGTCGGCGTTTTCGGTGTACTCTTGAAATTCATCCGCTGGCATAATTCTATTGTCATCCTTGGAGACAGTAAATTGTCGAATCTCAGGAAGATGATACTCATCTTTCTTTATAAACTTTCCTGTTGGTGAGCTTTGAACCAATTCTATCTGCTGTGAGTTCTGACCTTGCAGTGTTCCATGTTCTGGATGAAGAATCGGCATATCTTCGAGATAAACCGTGCCATCTGGGTTCGGCGCCTCTGTCTTTGACGAGTCTGGGTCCTTCAAAAGTTCTCGCTTTCGACTTTGAGGTAGTTCCTTATCCTTCTGGAGCTGTATCGCGAGAATTTTCTGAGCTGACATTGCAGCATCCTCTTGGTTTTCTCGTCTTCTCTCTTTACGTTGCTGGATCACTTTCCTTTTAAGCGCTGGAGCCCCGCCATCAAAAACGAATAGTGGTTGTATGCCATGGTATAGTAGTTTGCAGATTCTGCGAAAGAATCCCACGATATGTGATTGCCCTAGAGAGTTGCCATCCTTGTCTCTCACGGCCTTAAGGAACTGATATATCCATATGGAGGCATCTACTGCTAGGCGTTTTCGGGATAAAGCATCAAGCTTTACAGGCCTTGCCGTAGGCCCCACGATTTCCCAGAGTGAGGTGACTCCCATATGTTTGGTGTGAAATGATAGCTTTATTGCTTCATGATGATGATGATGCTGCTGCAGGATGATAGTGGGGCGTATATTATGTAAGCGCTTACTTACTAACCTTGACTTATGCGCACCACTTCGCAGCCATTTCCTTTCATAGTCCGCATCATCCTCGAGTAGGCTCAAGGCTCAGGTATTCCTTCTTGTATTTGTTTATCTTTATGCTCGTCCTTCCATAAGTGAGGCTACACGACTTTTTATTGCGTTCACTGTTGCGTGGTTTGGTGTAATACACAGATGGCTCGGTGTATTTAATACACAATGGCACAGTAAATACATCCTCGAAGGTACGATTAATCTCCTTCATTACAACCTTTTCCTTGAGACGATAGAAAGAAGTATCTGAGTACATACTAAGATCAAAATAGCTGTCAAGAAACCATGGCAAGCGCATTTTCCCTCTATATCCAAATATCAAGCTCATCAACGTTATAAGACTTGATACCTTCGCTATAAGGTACTTCGTCAAACCGTGGGTAACAAGGTACCAAAGCATCACAGCTTTGGACGTAAGCTGCATTGAAAACTTTCCAAAAAGGAGTTCTCACTTTTATGGCCGGATGAAATAGTCCAGCCCAAATGTAATTGAGAAAGACACCAGGGCCAATTATGTTTCTGATTGCATCTAGGCATTCAATGATCCGTATAATCACATGTGGTGACTGTTCATAAATGTTTGGTAGCACAAGATTCATCAAATGTGTGAACGTTTCAATGTGGTCATCATTAGCAAATCCTGTGCAATTGAGCGCAAGATGACGAACCACTGTAGCAGCTGTCTGTCGGTGAACCTGATCTCTGTCTGTTAAACCATTCCCGATCAAAGGTGTAACAGCATGAATGTAGTCTTTGCTTTGGGCACCGTTGATGTATTCAAACATGAAGCCAAGGGATTTCAAAATACCATTCTGCACATTCTTGTCAGGCATTCTATACTCATTCATGAGGGCAGGTAAGACGGTGAATGGCTCACAAGTATCTGCAACAATTCCAATAGCGACCGCTGTACAGACTCTTAGCTGACGCTCTTGCACTCTTAGATTATTGAGCAAAGTGGCGAGAACGTCCTGAGGACCAATAGCGTTGGCTATGAATCCAAAAGTAGCATTGGACGCAATCCTGATTCGCTTTCTTTGGCTTTTCAACATGTCCAAAAGATCGAAACAAATACGCATCCACTCTTTCGAATTAATGCATTCTGCGCTCTTGCAAGCAATGAGCCCGATCAATTTCACGCAATTTTCTTGCACTTTTTCATGCCGATTTTTCAAAATCGGTGTCAATGTCGGTAGAAGCATGCTAATAGAGGGATTATCGAGAGAAGATAAGTCCTCCTTATTTAGCGATTCTAGACAGGCATGTAAAGCCCCTATGATGGAGCCCAAAACTTCAGGATAAACCTCTCCTAATGATTCATAAAGAAATAGAATGAGTCTGTTCATAATCTGGGTATTATTGTCGCCAAATTTGTTGAGCAAAGGTGCAACTGCTGTCACCAAATCTGCGGATTGTAGACGCACTTCTGGCTCCTTGTTTTTCATCCGAAATAGAATGGTACTCAAGAGTGCAGTTATATGGGGCTTGATTCTTGACTGAAGTGCGTTGCACACTGAGGTAACAGCTGAACGATACACGGAGTGCAGTTGAGTCTGTTCTTGGAAAGCAAATAGCACTGAGTCAAGTAATGTATCTGTAGAGCGTTCTTGGAGCTCTAAAAATGCATCAGGAAAGCTCCTAGCTATCTTGTTTATTGCACCCACAGCCATTTGTCTCATGCTCTCGTTCGCATTCTTCGCCAAGGGGATAAGTGATTCAACGACGACTGTCACGCCTATGTTTTTTGCCATCACTTTTGTGGTGTCAATGACAAGGCGGCACACCTGCGAAGAATCCAGTGCTATCTTTCTAGTCCAGAAGTTTTGAAAGAAGGGCTGTAGGATTTGCACCTTATAGTTAGGAAACACGGTCCGTGATATTGGGAGGCGCAAAAGAGAACGAAGAATTGCCCTCTTCATGTCTTCGTCCGGCGATCGAAATTCCCTGGTCATTACCTGCATCAATTCTTTTAAGTAGTAATTTGTATACTCCTCGTAAGATGAATTCTGCGCCATCAACGACACTAATGAGCCCACTGCTTTTAAAAAGGCTGCAAGTCCTCTGCCTCTGTGATTTTTAAGCCCACCCCAAAGCGGTTCAAGGAGAGTATCGAAGGCTTCTATTCCATGAGGAAAGACACTTTCTGCAAGGAGAGAGACCGTATTTGCTGTCGCTGTTCTCACTGGAAGAAGCTCATCTTCTAGACCGGGTTTTATAGTGTCGGCAATTTGTGGTAAGTAGGGCAATATGGAGGCACCATTTCCACCTCCCAAGTTGATGCAAATATGATGTATGATTCTAATCCCTGTGTGACGAGCCTGTGAAGATTTCGATCTAAGAACGGCTTTCACGAAAGGAAAAAATTTGACTAAACCCAAAGTTGCGGCAACCTCTGCAAGGGCTCGAGCGGTCAAGTTTCTCACATACTCATCGCTATTGTCGAGATCCGGTCGGAGAGATGTAATGATATTGGCCAAGCCAGCTGAACGTGCAATTACAGCGATGGTATCCTTGGCTTCTAGGCGAAGTGTCATCTGCTCATCAATAAGTAAGGGGCTAACGGCTGTCACGAGTTTATGTGTATAAGGCCTTATTCCATGCGACAACTGATATACAGCCCTGGTGGTTAGCTTGAGTAGAATATGTCTTTCGCTGTCCTCGAGATCAGGTTCAAGCATTAGAGGTAAGAGCACGCTGAAAATCGCCTTCGCACCCAAGTCAGAGGAGTGTGAGTTAAACCAGCGGTTGGCTTTTTTTCTCACCTGAGATGTTCCGTTCTTGGCCTTTAGAATCACCTCCATGACCTTAAATCGCTTTCTGTCATTGGGATCGAGTAATTCTTCCTCGCTTTTTCTACCAAGAAGCGACAAATGTTTCCTATCCTCCTTTTTTAGTAGAATGCCCTCGTATTCCATAGAGATATCACTGATGAGACTTGTATCCACGGAAGGCTGGTGATCCGGGGGCTGATATAGTTGGACTGTGACAGAGGGGCCACGCGAGATTTCCTTTGGAATTACCTTGATGTAGCCAGCAGGAATAATTTTGTCGAGAAGTTTGTCTGTGAGACTCACTCTAGATTCGGCTTGTTCCATGCTTCTTGTGGTGCTTCGTAGAGTTTGTTGATGATCCTCGAGGTGGTTCCTTTTGAGGTTCGGTTCCACAGTAGTTTCATCACTATGTAACAGCCTTTTCAAACTGGTTTCTCCCTTCTTAAGAGCTAGTGATTCTATTCTGGACTGGTAGCTCTTCGTTTCATCGATGTTTATCAGTCTGTTGAATGCCTGCTTTTGATAATCATTTTTAGTGGAGACATTTTGTGGGCGAGAATGTTTTTCAGGCTGGGATGGAAGCTCATATTCACTATGACTAGACATTTAGATGGAACGTAAATCGAACGTATATGGTGCTGCCAAAGTTATGATGTGTGATGGTTTATGAAGTATGCGAGCAGCCTATATCATGCATAGTCTCAAACTTCTTGCGATCCACTGCTTGAGAATTTCACACAAACGGTTAAAATCATTAGAGTAACTCGGACATGAAAATGATAGCCTCCAAATCATCAACATTTCAATAAATGAAATTAAATTGAAGCTCTCCCTACAGTCAGAGTACGCTAGGATGTGTGATTCCTTCATATAAACACATTATACTCATCTCATGTACGTCAGGTAGGTGTTCACCTCACAAGCTCCAGAAACGTCATGTCTTCCCAAAATTTGAATGTTCTCCTCAATAGGCATTTCTCACTCAAAGAAGTTTCTCCGTTATCTTTAGTCATTGACTCGTTAGCTCAGTCAGCCCACCTATTGATTCAGGAATTCGTATATAAATCGGAGGCGCCTGTGATTCTTCTATCATTTGAGAGCAAGATAAAACCTGCTTGGGCAACTTACTTTCTAGATTGCTCAGAGGCTACACAATCAAGCATAAAATCCTTTGTGTCCGACAATACAAGCAAGACGCGAAAGTCTCTCGTCATTATAGAATCGCTCAATTACGTCCCGCCTGATGAGATCACGAGTTTCTTTACAGATTTATTACGTCCAAACAATACCACTTTGGGAATATATCATTCGAATTGCCCTCAAATTAGTCTAGAGAATTATCCGCCTGGGTTGACATTACTAAATTATATGGCCCTGTCTGTTTTCCATATTGAACCTCACAAAGTTCCAGACGAGGAGGAGCTTGAAACATCACTTGCTCGTCTTATTATACCTCCAAAGCCTTATAGTAATTCTTCCTTATTCAAATTGAATTTCACAAACAAAAGGAAGTCTGGTAAGTCTCTGCTTCATGCGTTCTCCGTCAATCTGGAACTTCATGAGTATGAGCTAATTACAGAAGCGTCCTCGACAGAAATTTCCGAGCTTTTCGATGACTTAACAACATTTAATTTGAATACAAGCAATAAGCAAAAAATTGCTAAGGAGCTGGTTGAACTACCCTTCATGGAGGCTCAAGCAGAGTTGGGCAAAATGGGTGGTGCAATTGTGTACCAATTTGAGAAGGACGACGATTACGATGAAGAAGATCCTTATGAAGACCCATTTTAGGACAATGATGACTTAAAAGAGCACTGAGTTTGAAGTTCCACTAGCTCGATCTTTATTCTTGGTTAAATTGCTGTACGTGATGAAAAAAATGAGCGCTAGTGTTGATTTGAGGCATATGTTGATAATCATTAGTGGAGTTGGAGCGAGATATATATTCAAACTTCATTTGGCGTAGGCATTTCTCAGCTTCGAAGGTACAATGACATAATTTGAATACAGATTCCCTACTGATCTCTCTACAATTTCATTTCAACACCCATAGTTGCATTGATAATTTCTTTGCTAAAGCCTTGTAACCTAAGAAGAGCCGTCAACTTGCGAGTTGAGGGGAGGACTTGTTGACCGTGCATCGAGCACCTCGACGAATTTTTCAGGACTTTCCCTTAATGAATAATGATCTAATGTAATTAAACTCGATCAAAGGTAAGCTTTCGTAGACAATTCAGTAGTGACTTATCGATAGAAGTCTGGTTTGGCAGCATTCACACCGTATTCGCTTAGGGCATTGCTCAAATCTTCCATGGTGAGAACAATCTTGCCTTGTTGATGGCCAGCATTAAAATGCAGCTGTGGCTGCAGCTGCTCAGCTGCATTGTCGACGCCTGTGCCAGTTCCAGAACTCAGTTGATTAGCAAATTGTTGCCCTTGTAAAAGCTGTTTAGCCCTCACTTGAGGATTAGAAGAATTGTACACAGCTGAAGAACTTCTTATTCTTGAGTACTCATAGGCGTCCTGAGCAATGTCAGAGATAAACTTCTGAGTGGCAAGGGCTAGTAGCCTTTTGACTCTGACATCAGCCGTTTCGAAACCATTCCGAGCAAGATAGTAATCCGTGACAGCATCAGGTATAATAGGCAGGAAGTCTTTGTCCATCAATTCTAGCATCTCTTGTAAGCTTTTATCCTTCCTGGCTATGTTCGGGAGGTCATGCAATGATGTGCTAGTCTTAGGTTCATTATTGGCAGGATTCTGTTCGTTCTTTGTAGGTTCATCAAAGCGGCCCACCAACTCTGTATCTGCATCGTCAAACTCTTCATCGTCAACTCTCTCTATAGCCTCATTTCTGGCCTCGCTAGATGCTTCGATATCAGACATTGATTATAAAAATCGAGTGCTCAAGTTGAATTGTTTGTGTAGAGTAAGGGGGCACGGGTGTTTCAAGAATTGTAGAAAGTTCACTTCTGACCTTACAGGCGAGTAATGTTTCTAAAAATTCTTGTTTTTTTGTAAAAGTCACGAAAAAATTCTTCTGAATAACTTGAAAGTCCTGTGTAAGTCTAGTTAAATAGAAATTATCATATTAGCTTCCAGTCTATTACTCCTTGACCACATCTGTGATTTTGCACCTACCCCTGTGTCTCCACTAGGCCTCAGTCTGCCATTCTCACAGACAGCTATCATCATACAACCGGGTTGTTTGGTAAATGTTGTTAAAAATCACTTCAGGTGATACATGTAAAGTAACACATTTTTTGGCCAGTTCCTCATCAATTCGCAGTAATAAGTAACAATCGCAAAAGTCTGGGATAACTGCAAAACTACTTTGGATCTTAAAAATCAAAAAACAACAACTCAATGCTACTTGTTCATAGTTCGGCTATGCATTAACTATCGCTTGACTCAAATCAAAAAAAAATGCTATATTTCGGCCTCAGTCCCGCTCACCTTACATTTGCGTACCTACTGGACTGTGCGGTGCATGTAGTCTCACAAATATCATTAACATCAGCTGGAAAACAGGAGGATAGGGCTGTACATGTCACAAAACCCATTCGAATCACTCACATTTGGTAACTCGCTTTCTCTTCGCGTGGATGGTGCCATTGGTACTATGTCCCTCTCGCCAAATGGCAGAGACGCTGTTTTGGCGGGGAGAAAGGGTTTGTTCATCATCGATTTAGATGATCCATTCACGACTCCAAGATGGCTACATCATATCACCTCTTGGGAAGTCGCCGATGTTCAGTGGTCTCCTCATCACTTTGTTAAACCATCATGGTGCATATCAACCTCAAATCAGAAAGCCCTCTTGTGGGACTTGGCAAGACCTTCGAACAACGCCATAGCGCATGTTTTACACCGTCACACAAGAGCGATAGCAGACATAAATTTCCACCCTATGGATCCAGAAGTTTTGGCAACATGCTCAATAGATACATTCGTTTATAGCTGGGATATGAGAAGTCCACGACGTCCTATTGGCAAATGGGCGGAGTGGCGTGCTGGTGCCACACAAGTGAAATGGAGTCATAATGATCCCCATCAATTGGTATCCAGTCATGACCACAGCTTTTTCTTATGGGATACTAGAAAAGGTGCGGTCCCAGTTCTTAGGGCCGAAAATGCCCACTCCGGAAAAATAAACGGACTTGATTTCAGCAGTGCCGACAATAAGCTTATGACATGCTCTAATGATGAGAGCATAAAAGTGTGGGATCTCCTGAACTCCAGTACAGACACGATCAAGCCATCCGTTATAATGCAAACCGAGTACCCTGTTGCGAGGGCTAGGTCCTTACCATTTGGTAAAGACGGTTGTTGTGGCATCATGCCTCTCAGAGGAGGCGGAAATGCAATTCATATTATCAACTATCAAGGCGCATTGAACGAGAATGCAGCAACGGGGGAAACAGTTCAAATGGATGTAATACCCGATTACTCTTTTCGTGGCCATCAAGGGCCAGTAAAGGACTTTCTTTGGAGAACCCTTCGTTCTAGTTATGCTGGCTTTGAGTCTAACCAGTGCTATGAGAAATTTCAAATGGTAAGCTGGTCTTCGTATGATTTTGATTTGAAGCTTTGGCCCGATGACTCTGAGATGTATAACATTGCGAATTATAATCCACTGCACCAAAAGCTTTTTAATTCATTAGTCAGAAGCACCGGCGGCTCTGACTCCGAGGATGGTATTGCAGGCAATTCTCCAACCTATTCACCCAATTTAGAGTTGAGTGAGGAGGTATCTCTTAAAAAGTCAGATACATACCGTTACAATACTTATTGCGTTGAACCACTCCTATCAATGAAGGACTACTACAGAGAATATAACGGCGACAGCTTATCTTCCATGGCATACTTCAAAATCATGCAATCACAAGAAAATGCTGATAGAAGTACTCAGCTCAATCATCTTGATTGGATCTCTGGAGTTCGTATGGGTGACACAAGATCGAATGGTCCTGACCAGCACGGGCCGCCCATTCTTGAGAGCTTGCTGGGTCCCAGAAATCTTGGAGAGGAGGTGAGTATAGTAGGCCACAAGTTCCCTAAGCTCCGCTTCGAGAAAATCTCGGTCTCTACGGGGCACCTTGTAATGACCCTCAAAGGCCCACTTCCGAAAATTGAACGAACCCCCACTGAAGAGATTAGCGCTAGAGATGCGAGTGATTCGACAACCACGATGATAGAGGACAAGCTGGGCCAACCTTCTTTATCCAAGGCACCTGCGCGTAATAGTAGCCCTTTGCAACAAGGGAGCAGCAAACCAGCAATTGTTAACAAATCGAATTCAACCAACAGAGCAGCGGGCTCCAATTTACCGGCAAAAGAATCCGTCGTGCTGCAGCCGCAGAAATCGATCCTAGGAACTCACGACAGCATAGATGAATTATGGAGAACCGACCAGGAACAAGGCTTGGCATTCATACGCCTTGAGGTAAAATTTCCCAAGAGCTATCCCCATATTGAAGACGTGGCGTTGAAGAGTCACAAAAGCAAAAAACCACACAAACCCAAAAATCATCGATTGTTGTTTGACATAGAAGAAACTCATGAAATTACTGCCGAGATCAAGCGAACCTTGCTCGAAGGGTTGAATCAAATAGCAGATTTCTACACCACAAAATTCGCCAGATTTTGCCTTGAGCCATGCCTCAGGTTTTTGATGGGTGATAGGATCAATTTGAACGAAGCAGAATTTATTCGCGAGCTAGAGTTAATACCAGAGCTGTCATTGGGAGACAATCTTATTGAAGTTGGAGATGAAAACTGGGCGGACGATCTTGTGGACCTCCATAACGCAGCAGGGAGTTCAAATATCACTACTACATTCGCTTATGAAGGTAAAAAGGGAGACGAAGGCAAATATGAAGAGGACGACGAAAAAGATGAAGAAGAAATTGAAGGAAGAAAAGAACATGAAGAAGAAGACGAAGATGAAGAGGAAGACATAGACTTGATACCAATGGTGGGTGATCATCCACTTCCTCAGCTGACTTCTCACCAATACGAGGAATTTAAGAATCCAGCAGAAGCAGATCCTTTCAGAGATAGGATAAAACATGATACAACACCCCTTCCGAAAGGATGCGGAGCTATTTGGTCCCATAATGGTCAATTAGTCTGCTTCTTTTTATCACGCGAGCACGACGAGAAGGTGAAGAGACAGTCTGATTCTAGGAGTCAAAAGCGGAGGCCGGAAGATCGATACTTTAGCGCGGCCAAAGGTGTACAAACAATGATGGAGGATGACCATCTGTCTTCGCATTCAATGATAGATGAAGACTCGGATCACGATAACTCTCTGGAGGAAGCTGAATCGCTTTGCTCTTCGCTATCTTCTGACGCTAGCTTTAATAACGACTGGGATGAGCTCATAGAAAATGACGTGCCCTCGAAGTCTCGTGTGAGAGGGTTGTTCAGAGAATCTATGAGGGTTGGAGGCGATTTCTTCAGTAATGAAGACCGCAAATCAGGAATCACACGAAGTGCTGGAGGCACAACCTCGAACTACAGATCCTCAACACACGGGGACTGCTCTGTCAAAGAAAAAAGAACTCCCAAATCCTCCAAAGGACAGTATAATCGTATCTTGATCGCTGACTTCTCCCACCTTATTCCCGAAAAGGTCGAACTTGCCTTATCCTATCGGGTATTAGGGGACACGCCGGAGAGTTTAGCAAGACATAATTATGAAGTGGCTCGATTTCATGGTTTTTTAGAACTCAGCGAGGCTTGGAAGCTTATAGAGTTAATTCTTATCAAGGAGCTCCCTCAAGTCGAAAGAATGGGTAAATCCGAAGTTCCCATTCATTCAGACTCGAGTATCTTCTATTGGGGAAATCATCCTTATGGGCATAAATGGCTCGTGAAAAGTTTATTCGATTATTTTGAAAGAAAAAATGATTTACAAATGTTAGCAATGATGTCGTGCATTCTTCATGAGAATATAACCAATCTTAAGGAATGCAACGAGGAAAAGATGCAAGCTCTTCCTCTTAATACACCTTACAATGTTGTTCCAAACCATTCTGACCACAAGATTTCGAGGCAATTGGTTGCGTCATCAGATCGTGAAAGTCAGGGAGGTATCGCACTGTTGTTTCAACTGACGCTTCATGACAGAGGACTTGTACGGAAGCCATCGATTACGAATTATCGCAATGATCACATATTTCAAACCACTCACAGTTCGAACGATGCACTTCCGTCTAGGGCGTGGTCTACCACACCCGTTACAACGCACCAATCCCTCAATGGCATAGATGGTTCACCAGACCTGATTTATTCGAAGAAGCTTAGCCCGCAAAGACAATCGAAATATTCGTCAAGAAAAGCTCCCAGGCCACTGACCAACAGGGGTAACTTGTCTTCGTCCTCATGCTTACAGTCTCGAAATGGAACACGCCAGCCTCCGACGATAACTATCTCGATGAAAAACTTTGAGCTGCTCGACGTTTTTGATGATCTGTTCACGGTTTCACTTCTCAGTGAAGTAAGCGAGAGAAAGATGGTGTACTATAGAGAGCAATACGCCGAGATTTTGTATTCCTGGGGGCTACTTTATAACAGGGTGAAGATTTTGAAGTTTAATTACACCCTGGAAGAAGTGGCGAACAACCCGAGCTTTTTCCCACACAAATGTGAATACGGTTTACGATTTCGGAAATCTTTGAGTACTTCACAGCTGCTATTAACTCCACTTACGTCGATCAAAACATCCAGAGCCAGTGCATGGAACACGAAAAAGCGAAACGACTTACAGACTTGCGCTCTATGCTCTATGATTGTGAGCAAGCGTGCGCTGGTTTGCACGAGTTGTGAACATATTTTACATCCGGAGTGTGCTCTGATCTGGTGGCTACTGGGTGCCAGTAACTTGGAATGCCCCACGGGATGTGGTTGCTCTTGCTTGGACCATAGTATCCAAGACTGATATGACAGTGTCATCTCATGGTTTCCTAGTCGCAGTAATTTGATGTTTGAGCTTTTCGTCCCACTCTATCACCAAATCACTTATGTAAGCAGCAACATCCTCGGCACCCGTGCTTTCTATCTCTGCACTGGTTGTGAATTCACGCCCCCAACGATTACAAGCTGAAACCCACTTAACGGACTGATCACCGCCTTTCAAAGCTGCACTAACTGGGGCATTTGAGGCGGTATAGCCCGAGATGTTGTGAATCTCCGAACCCATCAAGCGTGCGAGGTAGAAAAGAAGCATCATTCCGTAGTATGTGAAGACATTTAAAAACTCAAAGAATGAAAAACTTGTGAAAATTCCAGGGTGGACAACGTAGGATTGTATACCAAACTCCTTCGAAAGGTCTTTGTATGTTCCACAATGCAACAAGTCCATTAACCTTTTCGAACCCTCATAAGGCTCAGGGGACCTCAATAACTGGAGATCATCGAACGAGAGACATTTGGGGCTGGCCATGACCGAAGATATCCAAACCACGCGGCCACCATTTTGTAAAAGATGCCGTATTTTGTATAAGAGGTAATAAGGCCCAAAAACATTAGCTTGAAAAAGCATGCCCATTCCGTCTGTAGATTTCACGCCAATTCTTTGCAACTTGTAAGTAGGAAAAGTTACTGCATCAAGTATGTTTGTGAAAACGGCTTTGGTGGCTTGCACCCAATCTATACCACTATAGACACCGAGTGCTGCGTTGATAAAGAGATAGTCAACTTTGGTGAATTTCTTATTTAATTCATGAATAGCACTCAAAACCGATACCATATTGGCGAAATCAACGAGAAGATAATCAAATTCTAGTTCACCTTTTCTCGTAGGATAATTCTCTCGATAATGATCTCGTATCTGAGTTATAACATCCTTGACTCGGGGCAATGTCCTAGACGTAACTATAAGGGTCACATTTGTTTCATCGGGAAGCAGGTCGAGTAGGCGATATGCGATGTTGACGCCGAGATTGGAGGTCGCTCCAGTGATCAAAGCGACTTGCCCTTCTTTCATGATGGTTGTTCGTAAAAGAAACTACTCATGCGATCGTATAGCCATATGTGCATCTGCTCACGTGAGTAATCGCGGACAATAGGTCCTCAAATTGTAGAACCGAGAGGTTTCTGCATTGTATTACCTTGGGCCAAATTGGGAAGCATTGACGAATGCAATATTTATAAATAAATTTCAGGTTTGTAACAACTCAATTATAAGTAAAAATTAAAAAAAAGAATACGACAACTGCAGGACTCGAACCTGCGCGGGCAAAGCCCAAAAGATTTCTAATCTTTCTCCTTAACCACTCGGACAAGTTGCCTGTATGATAAATTTGGATTAGATGTAACAATTATCAGGACACAGGAGAAAACAGTTCACGTGGTATGGATCACGTGAACATTGACTTACTGGAAGGAAGCTTGATATGCGAATAACGAGACTTACACAGCGCATATGAATCAAGTCTGTCGCGGCTTCTGGTAAGGGAAGACATTTGGGTGCTTTATTGCTGGGTTATGCCTCTTTTGCGATATTGAAGGGATTTCTTCTGCTAGACACGTCCTGCCAATACCATTTTTTTTTTTTTTTTTTTTTTTTTTTTTTTTTTTTTTTTTTCCACCAAAAGTAAAGATGACGTGAGCCAGCTCGGGGGCTCTAGTTAGAAAACTCACTTCTGTGAATCGATCCCATTTCTTTTCAACTGATTTCTCAGAATGAGGGCGAAGAAAATTAATCTCTATAGAAATAACCTCCAATAAGATCTCAATATTCTTGATCTCACGCGACTCTCAAGTCAGACTCCCGAACACTCGCCCTGCTTACCGAAGACATACCTGTCTTGCAGGCTTCTTCAACTTATGTATCAGAAGGGGCGGAAGGTTGAGGCCTTGTATCCTCGATTCACGTTTTTTAAATAAGTAGGTTATACCGCCTAAACAAAAAAAGTTTGTTTGCGAAAATGTCTGAAGATGTGTTCTCTTGAAGCAACCATGTTCTTGAGTTGGTTGCTCATAGCCAATAGATTTGCTCAAATGAAATAGGTATTTTCGATGATGACTTTGTCAGTCCTTGTTAAAAAACAAAGAGAAAAAAGAGAAAAGCTATTACTCATCGGGAACTCTCTTAGTATTCAACAAAGGAAGCCCGTCAAACACCATACCTCTGATGAGGAATATCAAATTAATAAATATACTTTCAATGCGGTGATGAAGGCCGTGAACCCATATTATGATACGAACAAAGTGCATCAGGTCCCGTAGATATTCTAATTATCTATTTCCAAAGCAGAATGCAACCAAACCATGCAGTTATGATGATAAGGATCTATTCTGCAGAGCATAGAAGGGAAGTTCCAGAATGAAAGGGCATCACTCCAGGACGGAAGAAAGGCATTCGAGACATGAGCTGCATTTAGTTTCCTCGATGTTGTTCTGCTTCCCAAAATTCAGGAAGACTAAAATAGGAGGCATAGGAGCTCTTTCAAAAAGCATGGCGTTTGACGAGATAAGAATACAGTTCATCAAGGTCTGCTATCGAAAAATCATCGATCTTGTAGGATTTGCTTGTGGGCATTCAATCAGCAGGGCTTTGTGCACTGAATTAGTAAGATGCTCCAAAAAACCGCGCCAAGAAATCATGACATGAGCCGCACCATTTATATATATCCACTGCCCCGCGTTGACGCGAGGAGTACTTCCTACAGCCGCACGTCGGATTATCCCCCACGCAAGAAACTTATTCCCCGTTCCACAGCCGGGTACACCGGATTTATCGTCTCCATATTCTTCAATCAAGCCACCACTATGTGCATGTGTATTTCCCCAGATTTGTCATGATTCGGAACGTCCGCCTTCCTGCTTCGAGGCGGTTTAATGCAGTATGTTGATGAAGTAACAACCCTTCTTGCTCAATTATGGACTTAAGGTAAGAATTAGAAAGCAACCACATGACTTTACATTGGCACGAAGAAGCCAAATGTTCAATCCATTTCTACTTAAAAGTACACATCAAGAACCCGTAATTATTTTCCCGTAAATTTTCTAAATATCTGAGATCTAAACCAAAAATCTAAAGTCATCCTTAACTTCCGATCCGTCATTTCCTTTGCCTAGCTCATTTTCCCAGTTCATGGTTCCATTATCAATTCTTTTGTTTAAGATTTGCAATCTCAACCTCAATGCAATCGCGCAAACAATTGCAAGTCCGATAAAAACACAATTACATGTGAACGCAACAGTGTAACGTGGAGCAGCAGATGATGGATATAAGTAAGCGTTCCAGATCGAGGCTGAGTTCGATAAGCAATTCATCAAAGAAAGTGCGATGGCACGTTTCAATGGTGGACGGGGAACGGAGTTGGACATCCAAGATAAAATTGTGGTGAAGGAACAATAGATCGAAGGCACCATAATTACCATAGCAAAGTATCGCGCACCAGTGTTCAAGGTAGACACAGCAATAATAAACGACGCCAATGCTATAAGGAGAGGGGAAACAACATGCCAAAAACGTTCACCTGTTTTATCAGCATGAAGGGCCCATATGAAGGTAGTTATGACAGCAAGAATATATGGAGGAGCGGTAAGACACAAGGTGATGACACGATCAAAGTTGAGTGTCTCAACAATGGACGGAAAGAAATTAGTAACACCTGCTGCTGAGACCAACCATGAGAGTATACCGCAACATGCCCAGACTTTAACGTCACAGACAGCCAACTTGAAAGCACCCCAGTATGATTCTTCGTTTGTTTCATCGCTATCATCTTGTCCTGTTTCACATCTAATTTTGTATAGAAGGACATCCTTCTCAAAATCATTCAACATTTTTGAGTTGTGAGGCATATCAGGCAAGACAAAGTAAGCCAACGGAGCGACACCCACTGTAATTCCTCCTTCGATAATGAAAAGCCATCTCCAAGATCTCAACCCATGAAGGTGGTCCATGTTGTCAACAATTCCAGCGGCGATCAAACCTGAAAAGGCACCAGAAAGTAAGGATCCAGAATACAACAAGGAATTTCTGAAGCCAAGCTGCTTTCTTGTATACCAACAGGATAACACATAGAGACAACTGCCGAAAAAACCAGCTTCAACAAATCCCAACACTAAACGCACTGCAAGAAGTCCACCGAAGCCCTGGACGGCAGCAGTACAGAGGGAAACTGTACCCCATGCACCCATGATTGAGGCAATAAAAATTGATGGCTTTTTGAATTTGTTCAAAAACATGTTAGACGGTATCTGCATAAGAATGTAACCAACGAAAAGAATGGAGATACAAGTCTCATATTGGTTACCCTTTAAATTTAAATCCTCTTCCAATGCACCAAGTCTAGCGCTCGCAATGTTATTTCGGTCAAGATAGTTTAGAATGTACAAAAACACCAACATTGGAATTAATCTCAAATCGACTTTTCGAGTAATCTTCTTGTGGAATGCGTCAATCTCTTCATCGCTGTACTGCTTCAACAGTTCAGGTTTCTCAACCTCAACAGGATCTCTTGACTTTGTGCCGCTTTCAATATTGCTTTCAATATGTGACACTTCAGATTTCTCCACTTCAGTCTTTCCGAGTTTATCCATTTTACTTTCTCGCTGTCGAATTCAATCCTTGGTGGTTCTGTAAGATTTTTTCTGATTTTTTTCTTTTTTTTTTCTTGACAGAAGAGGAGAAGAGGATCTACGCAATTTATACCCTGAATTTCAGACCGACTCTCGGGCGGTGGGCTCGACACCCAACATCTTGCAGGGTTTGACGCAGCCTGCCAAACGCGAGTACATATATGCCGGAAAAATGTATTGTAGCGGGGGATATGTGGGGACCTCGGTGGGGCAGATGCATAAATGCGTGGCAACGTTCTGACATTTCCTGTCACTACGCCGGCTTAAGAAAAATGGATGATGTTACTACAGCATTTTTTCCGACGATCCTGCAAAAAAATTGATTTGTAATTTTTCTGTCTGTGAAGATATTGTTCACTTCTCGGGTTATCCGCCTTCGTGACGGCTTTGTTCGGATAAACTGTATTGCAACATCGTTTTATGCAAAACTATGCAGTATGTGGGGGCACTTCGCAAGCTGGCGGCAACGTACCTTGCTACCTTTGGCAAGGCGGGAAAGCAAAATCCCGGGAATTCGGAAGCCATAAACTCAATCAGATTCTGAATTTTGAGCAAGTTTTTTGCTGACCAACTCATAAGGCAGAAGAGTTGGTGGGTGAGTCTAGTGCAGCATGTTTGTCGAAGGGACCGAAAATTACATAATGTGAGAGATGAGCAGCTGCCAACTTTATTTTTGCTTTCCGGCTATGCAGGGTTTACTTTAATAAGCAAAACAAAATCTAGAGCTTTGACCTGTTTGCACTGTTTGGAACTTGCTTTCTCTTCGAGAGTTAGAGAGATGAAAGGTCTATAGCGTCGAAGTGTCTTCAGAATAAAATCTCTTATAGTAACGCGTGCAATATTTCTAAGGAGAATTGTGGATTTTGTGATTCGCGTGAAGTATTTGACAATGGAACATGGTCTCGTTTGAGCTGCTCTTTCCTATTCGCAGTCAAGTCACGTGTGGATACTCCTGAAGCTTCACGTTATCTACTGACCTGTATGGTGGCAGATATCTCCCAAACATCCCAAGAAATAGAGCTAGGCCTGAGCAATACTTCTTTCGTTCTGGCCGCCAGTGACAGTAAATCAATCATTCGTGAAGCTTTAAAGACGAACCATGCGAAACTGCTCGGACAAAGAAAGTGCCGAGCAACTTCATGAATCGAATGATGAATCGCAAAAGACTGAACATTCGGAACCAAGTGAAGAAAATAATGAAGGTGTTTTGCAAGGAAGTGCAGAAGTTCAGGTAGGCCAAGACTTGGACGAAGAAAATGAGGAATTTTACCAGAGTAGCAGCGACGGGGATGATTCGGTTCGCGAGTTTGCCGCTACTATTAGTCCAACTAACCATACGAGCGGCTCTAGGAGTCATCGTGACCTAATACGTGAGGTTGTCGGACAAGAAAGTACACATTCCGGTACTAACCTCATTGAAGTCGTGCAAAGATTGGTAGGGGGTATTGAAGGGTCACCATTTAGCAGACAACTGACAGAGTTTGAAAATCTAATTTCTAACCTTTCACAGCGTGACGACCATTTTATAGTATTAGAAACGTTGAATGAGCTCTCGGAAAGGCTACTCATGATGAATGGTATAACTGCTGAGCGTTTAATTCCTTCTAACAGATTTGCACGAGCCTTAGTTGACATTTTGAAGGAACCTCTTTTCGAGGATCATCTAGAGTTACATCTAGTGACTTGTCGTTGCCTCTTCAATTTCTTGGAAGTCAATCAAGATTTCATCCATGATGCACTAAATAATGGAGCAGTCGAAGTACTCATCGTACAGCTTCTTGACATCAAGTATATCGACCTCACGGAGCAGGCACTCCAAGCATTAGAAATGATATCAAGGGAAAGAATCTCTCATAATTTGATCGTTTCAAATGATGGGCTCTTGGCCTGCGTTCAAAATCTTGACTTTCTAACAATTCATGCGCAGCGAAAATGCCTCTTTATCATATCAAATTCCTGTGTCAACATCAGTGAGAATAACTTTCAGAAGGTTAAGGGTATCATTCATCAACTTTTCGATGTTGTGAAAGGTAACCTGGACGATATCGTCCGAGAACATGCTTGTCTAGCGTTATCGCGGATTGCAATGAGCTTCAAATATAAGCGGCGTTCGCATGAAGAGCTTTTTGCCAATGAACAAATGTTGGACTTAATTTTGAATGTAATTAGTGGCTCATGTGGAGAGGCGAGTAAAGAGACTCTTATAAGTTTCAAAGTGCTGCTAAGTCTTTTACAATCACTTCAACTCATGGCATCAACCTCCCCAAGAATTTCAGAGATTCTTCTTGCCTTGAATGCGGGTAGGCATTTGTTTTATGCCCTTGAATTTTACAACAAGAAACATGATAAACGGGCAATGCTGGACTCTACTTCGGACTCCATAATGGAGGTCTCCTACAACTCGGTGATGGCAGCACCGAAGGAAATTCTTCTCAACATTCTTCGATTCATTGCAGCGCTAACTCCAACGTCATATGATCTAAGCGAGTCTCCCTTTGTGTTTGTTCCCATCAACAAAGAGGAAGGAGGAGCTTTATCAAAAGAGACTCACCAAAGAACTATTGATGAAACAGAAACTTTCTTACACTGGGCTTGGCCAGTTGTACTCAAAGTTTTCCTCGCAAGCATGGAATCTGAAATCCGGAAGATGGCCCTCATCAACATTTTCAGAGTGTTAACCTTCATTGAATCTGAAAACCTGGTTTTAGTGACACATATGAGCGAGCTTACATCCATTATCGCATCTCTTGTTAGTGCTGCAAAGTCTGACTTACTATCCAACAATGGTTTGGATCCTTTAAGCAGCTCAACCTTATCCAATATTATACCATCGGTAGCGATAATTAATTGTGTGTTCAAAAAAGAATTCTTGAACTGTGTCATCAGCCTAAAGAAAGAGGGGGTTTTTCAGGACATCGAATATATCGCCGATCGATTAAAATCGTTAAATCTAGATACCACCAGCAATCACGTTGAGAACGACTGGGCTCCCTCCTTGGCAAGGTTTTCGACTTTTTCGAATCCTGAATTGGATTTCTCACGTGTTTCTGATCAACTTCCCAAAGAAGCACTTCTTCTGAGAGCTAAGAAGGTATTAGATCAATTTCGACAGATATCCCATGACCTCCCTTTAAACTTATCCGGAGAAGATTCCGGATCAGGATCAGATCTCTCAAGAAGTGTTAATCTTGTTTTGAGTACAGAGAACCCCGACCCACTTCATTGCGAAACGCTTTGGAATCAATTACAAGATTTGCTCCTATACGACACTACTGATTTCACAAGTAATGAACTCGTTACACTGGGTATTAATGAGGTTTTTCTGTCAAACTTCATGAACCCTACTAACGTCGATGTCCTCCACACGCCTTTAGGGCGCTCTTTTTATTCTACCATTCTCCAAAATTCCAAAGCTATTAGAAGGCTTATCGACCTTTTCTTGGAGGCATTGCTGCGTGCCGAGTCGTTCGAGGTCATTTCTGTCACCGACAAAAGTCCAGGTCGAAGCCCTAGACATGCTTCTAATTTAGCCCGTCAGATTCGATTGCGTCTAGTTCCACATACAAGTGCGTCTAAACCTCAAGTTGAAGCAATGACGATTTGTGTCCAAGCGGTAGCAACTTTCCGCTCCATCGAGTCATTCGTCATCCAAAGAATTGAACAGGGATGCCAGTTAACTACATCAAACGTTTCTATACCAGAACGAACCCAAACCGGGAATGAGTGCGTATTCTATTTGAATGGAGATGTTGTACCAAGCGATACTACAGTTTTCGGGGCCATCTTCTCTTCTGCTAATACGAGGAATGGTTTATGGTCTCAGATTCATCCAATTGCCTACGAAGTTCGGCCTTCGAGTGGTGCTCAAACAGTAAAACCTCATCGTCCACACGAAAGATGGTCTGGCGGTGCAGCTGATACAGTATCCTTACCTACACTCAATGCGCTCCAAACGATCTACAAAATGAATACAAGAGCTAGGCAAGAGGGATTGTTTCATCTACCAGACGACGCGTTTTGTTGCTGGAAGCTAACAGTAAAACTTCGGAGACAGTTAGAAGAAGTTCTAGTGGTAGCCAGTGGGGCTCAACCTTCATGGAGTTTGGCTTTAACCCGAACTTTTCCCTTCCTTTTTCCTTTAGAGTTGAGAATATTGTTCTTAAGAAGCACATCGTTTGGTTACTCACGGCTTATCCATCATTGGCAAGATGCAGCGGACCAAGATCTCTATTCATCAAACAGTGAGATAGAATCCATCTTCCCAAACAGAAATCTACAGCTAGGCCGCATCAGTCGCCAAAAGGTTCGCATCTCAAGATTTAATCTTATGTCCAGTGCACTCAATGTCTTGAAAAAGTTCGGTTCATCACCTGAAATTCTTGAAGTTGAATATTTCGATGAGGTAGGATCTGGCCTTGGGCCAACCCTTGAATTTTATGCTTCAGTGTCTCATGAATTCCAAAGAAGTGATTTGAACATGTGGCGAGCTTCGGGAAATCGTATTTCGATAGAGTCAGGTCATTTCGTCAGCTCGGAAAATGGTCTTTTTCCAAAACCCTTTATCTCGACCCAGCATAATTCGCAGTTTAAGAAAAAGATCGATAATCTCTTTTATTATTTGGGTGTGTTCATGGCTAGGGCGTTGTTTGATTGTCGTATCGTGGATATCGATTTGAATCCTCAATTTTATCGAATGCTAAGTGCTAAATCCACAATAAAGGATTGGTCTTATGTTCCCACTTTGACAGATCTTTTCGAGGTTGACCCTCCCTTATTTAGGAGCTTAAAACTGTTACTCGAGATGAGTACATTGAAGGATGGAGAGGCAGACCCCATCGAAGAAATGGAACTTTACTTCGTTCTTCAGGATGACCCAAGCTATGAATTAGTTCCCAATGGTGCGAATTTAAAGGTGACTGGACGCAACGTTCGTGAATATGTTAACGCGATGATCAATGCTGTTCTCAAGGATGGGGTTTTGTGTCAAATACAGAAGTTCGCTGAAGGCTTCTCGACTGTTTTTCCAATTCAGTCGTTAATGGTATTTTATCCGGAAGAATTGCGAAAAATTTTTGGTGCAATCGAGGAAGACTGGTCTGAGAGAGCTATCTTTGACGCCATAGAGGCCAACCATGGTTACACAAACTCATCTAAGTCAGTAATTCGTCTTGTCCAGGTCATCTCGAACTTCAATGAGGTTCAGCGCCGCCAGTTTTTGCGTTTTCTCACAGGAGCACTGAAGCTTCCCATCGGTGGGTTCAAGTGTTTGCATCCAAGATTTACTGTGGTGAGAAAAGATCCAGAAAGCGGGCTTAAAAGTGACGACTACTTGCCTTCAGTAATGACTTGTGCACTGTACCTAAAGCTTCCTGATTATAGTCTGAGAGATATAATGAAATCTCAGTTATTACGAGCTATGTCAGAAGGAGCTAACTCGTTCCATTTGTCGTGATGTACCAATTGAGCAATAAAAACAGTTCGTATCGAATTGGTTTGATATCAATTTCATTACAAAATCACAGCTTGCAAATATAGCTCAGAGGCTTCACTGATACGTAGTTTTATGTAGAAGTTTTCCAAATTGTACTGCACCGACCACTCCGTGTGCGCAACTGATCATTTCGCAGTGAACACCTCAATCCCCACTATCATGCAATTAGACACATTGATAAAAGATTTGGTTTCGACAGCTCCACCCAGTGAAATCAGGAGAGTAAACGCTGATTTGTCGACTATCGTACCTAGGGATGGAAATTCAATTGTGGATCGTGAAATTGCAGAATATCTCGAGTTTCAGGGCCACGCGACTGAAAGCTCTATCTGCTCAAAGTTTCTGAAGGAGCCGGAGACAGGCAAATTCATAGACTACAAAGCGAAGCAGAAATTTTACTACGATTTTGGCAAAGAGAAGGCTTCGGATTTTGAAAGCTACAAGCCTGAAGATCGCCCTTCTTATTATGAAGATCTAGTCGACCTCCTTGACACCTACTCAAAGGGTCATTATCCATCGAAATATCAATACAACGTGACACCTTTGGCTGACAAAGTGCAAATTTTTATTTTAAGTGAAAAAAGTGAGCCATCCAATTTTTACAGTGGGCGTTGGAAGTCCACGTTCACTATAGAGGGATCAAAAATACATGCTGAAATTGGAACAGATATTCATTACTATGAAGAAGGAAACGTGAGACTTCACTACAGTGACTCATTTGACGAGAATCTCACTTCGGTTAGTGCCAAAGCGATCGCTGAAATAATCAGACGCACGGAGGATCGGTTGACTTTGCAGATAGTCCAGCAATTTGATGAATTGAACAAAAATCATTTCAAACACTTACGAAGATTGCTTCCTGTCACTAAATCAAAAGTCAATTGGGGTAAGGCTATTGGAAATTATAAATTGGGATCAAATGTGGCAGAACGCACATGAACCTTTATCCGTCAATAATATACCTTGTAGATCATCCAAATCACAAAAAAAAGTAGCAATATTAGACCGACGATACGACTAAGATTCGAATTGCGCCTCATGGTTGTTGAAAGATCATTACTGCTTCGTTTGACTCGTGTCCACAACTGTGAGAAGTTGTCACTTAAAGAGTCTAAGATATTCAGTTCAGATCGTATGCCCCCTTGTATGTCATGTTCGACGGTATTTCTAAATTGACTTAGCGTATCAGCTAATTGATTGAATCTTTCGTTATTGTCTTGTTCCCTGTGACCATACAAATTCGACATCGAGGTGTTGGTAATTCCCCTTGAGAAATTCTGCGAACTATGATCAATGTGCAGAAGTTGAGAACTGATATATTTCCGTTCATCCATGTATATCCTTTACATAATACTTACCGATTAAAATGATTATCAACCCCTTGATTCCCAAAGCCACTGCTCGTCAGCTGTTGTTGCAAAGCTGGCGGCTCAACAAGTCTACCCCCCGAAGGATACGGTAGACTATCAGATGCTCGGAACTCTCCACTATGATGTACTGCTTTATCAATCAATGAGTCGTAAAAGTAAGTGGCCTTACTCGTACGATCATGAAGTACTGTAAGTTCGTCTCTTCGAGTGCCGTATTTTTCGATAGCCTTTGCTAATGAAGGTCTCAAGGGTAGTACGTCATTGTACAAATCTGTGACTCTATCTTCATCTAATGTCAAAGGATCCGATGAGATAAGAGCAAGAAGCTCATCAATCTTTAGTTGCTCCACTTTCAGCAACCTCTCTTCCACAGACGCTTCTCGCGCTGCTTCCTCTGGTGTTTTGCTTACGACGGGGGTCACATAATTCAATGGAAAAATGCCAACTTTTCCATTAGGAAGGGCACCTCTCCACCAGTCACGGTAAACAGATTCCACAACAATAATGATATCACCTTTTTTAAACGAAAGCTCGTCTGGCTCGTAGGAGATGAGGTCATAGAGAGCGCGGACCTTTTTGACATTGGCGATCGTCATGGGCTCCAATCTATCTTTCAGCACCGATTCACGGCTTTCGTGGGGCATGTCTGCAACTTCATTCTTTATGTTTATTTTTCTCACGCTCTGCTCCCGTTCGTATTCTTGTACCGATAATTGTAGCGCTCGTTCGAGCTCTTGCTCTTCCTGCTCCTTGACTTTTCCAGGTATTGCTGTTTTAGCTGGCTTGGACGGTGCCCCTTTACAATACTGAGGATATTTTGTTCTCACAGTTTGTAGCGCATCTTGTATCGGTCTTAAGGACGGATCGTTCTTAAATGTCTTATTGAGATGGGCAATCACCTCTGTGATCCGTACCTTCACTTGCTTGTGAACTTTCTTGTCCGACAATTTGCTCAAAACACTCTCCTGAAGAAAGCTAGTCGAGGCAATTTCTTGTTGTAACCTTGAGCCGCAATTTTCAGCTATGGCAACAATGAGAGAAAGTGTTCTGAATAGAGTATTCGCATCCCTTGTGGAGAGTCGACTTCTGATGAAACTAATTGCATCCTTCGAATTTTTTTCAGGATCTTTGGATATCGTGTCACAGACATCAAGAATAAACTGCCAATTATCGTCGGTCAATGTACAATCGGTGGCTTTGTCAATTTGTGTTTTCAAAGAAGACATGGCTATAAGTAGTCAGTGTAGTGGCAATATCGCGAAGCAGAAAGTCACGGAGGAATCTATACCTACATGCTGGGATCACAAAATGTAACACGGCTTCGGCACCACCTCGAGGAGAAGTATATACATAGAGTGAGTGACATGGGGAAAAAGTAGAACGCAAAACAAAAAAAAAAAAAAAGAAAAAATAAAACAGCCGGAAAAAATAAAAAAGATCACACAACAAATGAAGGAACTGGCTCAAATGTTGTGAGTTAGGGGCTATGTGGCGCGTGAGGCTGCAAAAGCTGGAATGGTACTGTTCACGACTACACCAATACACCACTTGATGCTCCGAACGTCTCCAAACTTTTTTTTTTTATCCGAAATCACCAAAACGGCCACCATTCGTGCCAAGATAAGAGTTTGTGGAACCAACTCGCCCCTTTTGACAATAGCTTTCCATCTCCTCGAAGATTAATAAACAGTTTGGACAAAAAAATGAGCACCTCGTCGTCTCCCAGACCAACCCGCCGAAGAAGAGGCTCCTCGGTCGGAAATATCAATGTGGGTGATACCTCAGCCCCAGGGTTCTCTACTATGAAACTCACAGCTTCGCAAAGACAGAAGCTGAACCAACGGGTGAGAGCTTTGAGTGACGAATCCAGAACTGATGTGGCCATTGTACGCAAAATGTTCGTGGCTTTCAAGGAATTGAGTTTTAGGCATACATGGATTAATCCATTTATTGTCTTGAGTGTATTCTTCGTGGCATACCTTGGTACGAACGATGATAGCTCCATCCATCAAACCTTGGAGAAACTAATCAAGCCCTCCTACCATATCGAGGGTACGGACCAGTATGGAAAAGGCGTGAATGATTTTTATTTCGTTGGATTCTACGCACTTTTCTTTACATTTTTCAGGGAATTTATGATGTGTGTGGTATTGAGGCCGCTCGCTGGATTATTGGGTGTTACGAGACCACATAAAGTCAACAGGTTCATGGAACAAAGTTATGCGATGTTCTATTACGGTCTTTCTGGTCCATATGGGCTTTATGTTATGAGCACAATGCCGCTTTGGTTTTTTGAAACCACTCCTTTGTATGAAAATTACCCTCACAAAACTCATGATTGGCTTTTCAAGGTCTACTACCTTGGGCAAGCGGCATTTTGGGTTCAACAATCTGTTGTTCTAGTTTTACAACTCGAAAAGCCCAGAAAAGACTTTCATGAACTAATTCTTCATCACATCATTACAATCGCTCTCATCTGGTTGTCGTATCGTTTTCATTTTACATGGATGGGTATCGAGATTTACGTGACTATGGACGTTTCAGATTTTTTCTTGGCTACTTCCAAAACATTGAACTATCTAGACTCGATTCTCACGGGGCCATTTTTGGTTGGATTCGTCTTCATTTGGATATATCTCAGACATTATATCAACCTTAGGATTTTGTGGTCCGTGTTGACTGAATTTAGGACTGTCGGAGAGTGGGAGTTAAACTGGGATACTCAACAATATAAGTGTTGGATTTCTCAACCAATTGTTTTTGGCTTGATTTTTGCATTACAAATCCTCAATGCGTATTGGTTGTTCCTTATTTTGAGAATTTTGTATCGATATGTTGTTGGCGGAGTAAAGGCAGACGAAAGAAGTGAATCTGAAGATGAAGAGGATGAAGAAATCCTGAAGGATAAGTCGGAATAAGTAACTTCAGATAATTAACCATGCTACGTACAAAAAAAGAAAAAAAAAACTTAAATTCTGCTTCAGACAGTCTATTTACAAAAATGCTCAGACCAGAGCAGATGATTTGACCGAAGAAAATTTTTGAAAATACCCCTTTCTCTCTTGAACGCCCTCTTCTGCGGCTCTTGATAACACGCCCAAAACTAGGGTAATAGCTCTTATAGAGTCATCATTACACGGGATTGGGTACGACAAGAGTGAAGGCTCCATATCGGTATCTGAGAGACCAATTGTTGGAATACGAGCAATCGTACACTCGTTAATGACATTCCTGTTTTCGACCGGGTTCAAGATAATAACAATGTCAGGCTTGATGGTGCCATCCTGCGAAATATTCCTCAGCGTGATGTCATCACCCATGTTGACCTCAACTTTTTGAACACCACCTAACTGCTTTGTGACCTCCAAGGCATTAGTAATGGTTCCTGGTATCCATCTTCGGGAAACGTAATACCCTCCACTTCTTTCAGCGGCTCTTTCAAGTGCACGATGTTGTTCTACCAGCTTGCCTGTTCCCACATATAAGACAAGCCCGCCTTTCCTAGATACATCTTTGATAACATGTGCTGCTCGTTTGAGTGCCGCCAATGTCTCATTAAGATCGATGAGATGTGTGCCTTGATACTCTCCGAATATATATGGTTGTGTTGAAGGTCTCCACAGAGATTTGGAATGGCCAAAATGGCAGCCAGCACTCATCAAATGGCTGATAGAAATCTCAGAAATTGGTTGCGGATTTTCCCTCGCATCTATAGCTTGATGAACATCCACAAGTTGCGAGCCCAACTTTCCTGACTTTCCAGTATGGATCAAATGCCTGAGGAAAAGTTCTGAATCTGAATACGGTTTATAATCTGGTGTTGGCTTCAAGTTGGGGAAGTTCGATCCCTGAGTTTTCGTAGTGGTCTGAATTCTCTGCGATAATGATTCACCTCCTCTCGTTTGCGGAGTAGCTTCCGATGATTCCTTTATCCAGGGCCTGTTCGATACTTTAAAAGACGGGAGCCTCAATTTATTGGAGAGCAAATCTTCGATTTCGCTATCAAGTTGCTGAAATGTCGCTGAGGTAGTGACTTCACTGTAGCGGTCCGAACTTTGTGCAATAGCAACATCCCATGAGCTTTTATTCACAGAGGAAATCCTTGCCTGTGCTCTACCTCTTGCCTCTCTAGCAGCCTTCTCTCGAGCTTTCGCTTCTTCTTCTTTGGCAAAAGCATCTGCTAAAGCCTTTTCTCGGATTTGCTTCTGCTGTAAAGCATCAAGAGACAAGAATTTTCTAGCCTTGAAATTTCTTACAACAAAGCCATCCTTGAAGAGAGTGTGTCTGAGGCTGTCAACACCACCTTTTATGTTCCTCATCTTGGTTGAATGACGAAGAAAAGCCAAAATTTTTGTCCTAATTTTCATGTCACGTGCAAGAAATTTACTCTATCACGGATCGCGATCTGTTGCACTCTTGCAACGACGAAATGACAGAAGACCAACTTAGTAAATTTTCAGCAATGGAGACCTCAAGATTGATACAATTATTCTGTAAAGAGAACAGCTTTATTGTTATGCATCATGAGCCGTTATCTAAAAGCTCAAACTTACTCCCACCAGCCTCATGCTCGATTGGTGAAATCAATACACTGAAAGGCATTCCAGTACATTTATTCGAAAGCATCAAAGAAGTCTCTACGGCTCTTGTAGAATTGGTTCTAATTGAGCATGAGCGCTACCACATTTATCTTTTCGCAGACTCGTTATCACTTAAAAATAGGCATTTCATTTGTTTCGAAAATCTATGCCGTTTGATAGCTTTCCATGGGGTGATCATTCTGGAAATCAAGCATTGATTGAATTAAAAAAAAATTACTTATGTTATTCTGATAAATTTAATACAGTAAGTTAAAGATTACTACTTTTGATCTTCATCCTCCTGTTGCTCCTCGGAGACTTCTCTCAGCAATTCAGATGGATCAGCCGAGCCCAATTGACTGGCTAATGCGCTGAGATCTGGACCGCCAGCTCCACCAGCTCCAGCACCGGCCAAAAGTTGCGAGAAGTCCAAATCTCCCGCCCCTCCAGGTCCTCCTTGGCCTCCCATCATGTTGGCCATATCCATGTTTCCATCATCAGCCTGCTCATCCTGCTCGTCTTCGTCAACCCATTTGTCAAAATCAGTCTTGATGTAGTGAAGCTTTAATTTTTCTTTCAACAATCGTGGCCAGTATTCGGCCCTTGGCTCAGCTTTTCGAATTATGAAGGAAATGTGATTACCAGCTTCATTCCAGTGGGACTTCTCTGGTTCGATCTTGTCGAATAATTCCAAGTCTAATTCATACGTGTCGCTGCCATCAGCGGTTTTGGCAGTAAACTTGAGTGCATTGACGGTGAGATCTATCTTAGAATCTTGTGGATCTTGCGCCTCAATGGTGATAAACAATATGTTTTTCTCGGGTTCGGTTTCGCTCGAGCGCTGAGCCCACGTTACAACTGGATGAACGACCATGATGTAGTATCACTCTTTCTCAATTGTGACACTAAATGCTCAATTTATATTTCGAGAACCTTCGGGCACGTGATCCTCAAGTTTTTTGACAATGACACCTTTTATACCAAATCGAAGTTAAATTTAAGGCCTATGATAGCTTATCTATGTTCCCGCCCCCTGCAAGTCAATTATTTTTGGTTTCTTGCGATACTCGTATCTTAGGCCGCCTGTTACCCCAGTCTGTGTCGCACCCATCCTCCACATAGAGATACTCAGAGGTGTACCTGATAGTCTTATCAACATATCCAATGCTTCATAGACTTCCCTTGGAAATCCAAGTGCTTCTTCTCAAATCCTGTCCCGGAAGCTCCCTCAAGCATGTCAATTCCCATTTCTACTTTCTTTATAATGATTTATATTTCGAGAAGCTTATCATCACATTTGGGGAAGATGTAGTAGACATCATTGCCAAGGTTTACCCTTGGCTAAGAACCTACATCATGACCCTAGATGCTTTCCGAAAACCCTCCAGAGAAGTCATTTCCAAGAGATTAAAATTAATCGATTATTATGGCACCTGTAATAGCCCAACAGAAATCATCGAGTCGATGTATGTTAAGGACTCTTGGAAATATGTTTATTCATTGTTCAAAAATAAGCGATTATTTGCAGAGTATTCGGATTATCAAATTGATGAGCCAACCAACTACATTTACAACCATTATGTGGAGATAAACCGATCATATCTCCTATCATACAAAAAGGAAATATGGTTAGCGCCCGGAACATATAACCTAAACGTCGGCTTAGTTGTCAAGTCTGGGAGTGGTCTAGGAACCACTAAGTTTGATATCAAATATCAAGGTACGAATGGGGAGGATATAGTTCAAACTTTTTTCCCCCCACTGAATATCAACGAGATTCTTCCCAAGAAGCAATTCTGCTTTCTCAAAGTTGGTGAATTCCAAATCAATGCTCCATCGTTGCACTTTCAAAATGAATCGAATCAGCATGGTTTACTCCAGAAAATTGAGTTAGTCATGGAGGAAATCGGCCTTTATCTCAAATCAGGGTTCAGAATCTTTTTCATCGACATTTCACAGCCGTCAATGTTGTTTAACGATTACGATCTTCTTTATTATTCCTGTCAAGAAACCAACTACAAGTATTTTATTAATTTGCCTTTGAAAAGTTTTTACAAGGCTTTGAACTTCGTCCAAAACGGGCCATTGCTGAGGGGCCAAGGGCGATCATACGGAAGGGGTGATCCATCGCAAATAGCGGAGCAGTACGACATGAGCTATCCGACAGATTTCAACACTGGTCTGAAGCTGGATGAAGAATGCCTAATGGAGTACGCTCGCTTTTTCTTTCGTAATACTTTCAATCACAGATACTACAAGTTCAATACAGTGTACCAGAGACGACAATTCGTGAACAGATTTGGTGACTTTGAGCTTGACAATTCCGACAGAATTCCGGAAAAGAAGCGCTGTTCTTATGATCGCGAGGGTATCAAGTGGAGAATACCAATTGTTGGCGAGCTATGAAGTGTTCCGCGCAACTTGGTTGTTTTGAGTGTTGTGCACAATTGTAGATGTATTGCGCGAAACCATTGCGTAAGGCCATGCACCGATACACATGAGTGTTTGATATGACCTAGACGAAACATGAAGTTGAGCGATCAATCAGTGAATAGGCTGCTGCAATCCTTTGAGACGGAATCCATAGACGACCGCGATAGGCTTGATAATGTATCGACAGGTGGGGCAAACGCTGATCCCTTCAACGATAATGCCTCGACGTCAACCGAAGAAAGCTCAAATAGTAGGCGTCTCGAGAAGACTAACCGAAGAATTATTTTGCAACGATTTACGGTCTACAATTCCTCCACAACGATGTACATTGTTGGGAGCAATGCAAAAGAAAGCTTATTCCGAATTATTGAGATCAACTCGGATACGAGAAATGGCACCTTATCTATCATCGAAGATAAAAACTATTTCTACACAAGAAAAGATGTCGTTGAATTGATGAAAGGTTTGGATGATTCGATCGAAGGTGGTATTCATAAAATTGCACAAGCGTATGGGCTCTTGGGGTTCATCAAATTCACAAGCGATTACTATTTATCAATCATAACAAAATGTAGCCAAGTGGCTGTTCTTGGAGGGCATTTTGTTTATCATATAGATGAAACCAAACTTATCCCGCTAAACATCAATTACAAGAGGCCAATTAAATACAGCGATGAGGACCGATTGCTTTCCATTTTCAAATACCTCGATTTGGGTAAAACGTTTTACTTCAGCTACACATACGACATAACGAATACCCTCCAGAATAATTTAATGAGACTCCGGAACAATGAGCGACATGACTTAGAGCATGGCGATACGTCTTCTTATCTAAACAATAGATTTGTTTGGAATGGTCTTCTCCTCAAGCCTACTTACGATACAGATATTGCAACATATGATTGGTTTCAACCTATTATACATGGATTCATTGATCAGGCAAGCATATCCATCTATGGAAGGAAGCTATATATTACAATTATTGCGAGACGCTCGCATCATTTCGCTGGTGCCCGGTTTCTCAAAAGAGGAGTCAACCACAATGGTGACGTGGCAAATGAGGTTGAAACAGAACAAATTGTAAATGACATGATGACCTCTTCCTTCCATGACCCTAAATTTGGACCATATGCCAATCCAAAAATAACTAGCTACGTGCAACATAGGGGTTCAATTCCGCTTTACTGGACTCAGGATTTGAATCGTCTCCCAAAACCACCGATCGAAATCAATCTTTCAGACCCCTTTTACCAAAGCTCTGCACTACATTTCAATAACTTGATCGAAAGATATGGCCCTCCCATCATGATTTTAAATTTAATCAAAACAAAAGAAAAGCATCCACGGGAGCTGAAATTGAGTAAACAGCTCGTCAATTGTGTCACCTACTTGAATCAATTCCTTCCATCGAAAAAAAAATTAGACTACTTTTCTTTCGACATGTCAAAGCATTCCAAGAAAAACGCGGACGTGATAGGACCATTGCAAGCTCTTGCAAATTCTAGTATTCAAAAGACTGGCTTTTTTCAAAATGGGAGGACATTACAAGATACCAAACTACAACAAGGAATTATTCGAACCAATTGTATCGACTGTTTAGATCGTACCAATGCAGCGCAATTTATTATTTGCAAGGAAGCGCTAGCTCAGCAGCTTAAAAGCCTTGGTTTTATTACTTCCTCAGCTAGCCTTGATTACGACTCAGATTTAATTAATATTTTGACCGAGATGTTTCATGATCATGGTGATACAATTGCTGTGCAATACGGAGGGTCTAATTTGGTAAATACGATGGATTCTTACCGAAGAATCAATCAGTGGAGCTCTCATACCAGGGATATTCTTAACAGTATAAAGCGAATTTATTCCAATTCATTCATTGATGTCATCCGACAAGAAGCCATCAACCTTTTCTTAGGAAACTACACTTATAGGTTGGACAAACCGAAATTATGGGAATTGCAAAATGACTACTACTTGCATAACCAAGGTTTTGTGGATGAGCTAAAAAACAAGTATAGCTACCTTCAGTGGTTCAATGGGTTCGCAATAGCGAATGATAAAGCTCAACAAATGCTTGATACAAACAATCTGCTTCGTGCTCAACGTATAGAGCTTAATGAGCTATCTGATAACTGGTTCAATGAATGCTACGTTCCCAGAAAATATCAATCTTTTTCCTCAATTTTCCAGTTCAATATGAACTCAAACGCCAGGTACTTTCCAACAACGACCAACGAGGCGAAGTCATTTGATTATAGCCCATTTGGAGCAAGGAAAGCACGCTTTTTGCAAAAATCAAAATCCTTGGAGCAATTCGATAGAGTAAATCAGAGGCATCCAGAGGACCACGCGACAGAGGCTGTTACGAATATGACGTCTTTTGAACCTAGATCTTCATTCTCCGACGACTACCATCATGACATGCTTACAACAATTTCATGCCAACCGGGTAACCAGCAAATATTCGTTGATAATTTAGCCCTCCTGAAGCCTCTCAAACTGACGTTGTCCGAGCTTTCCGCAGACCATCCCAAGCTTACAGCTGCTCTGCTTCGAAAATATCATACTGCTACAATGCCACCTAGGTTTCACTCCACATTTGATACGATTTCTGAAAAACAGCATACGGAGGATGTTCACGATTATTGGTTTTACTCGGAGAATGACCCCAACTCAAGGTATCTTATGGCAACCGAAGAATATATAAGGTAAAAGTGAGTAGCCTCAAAAAAGAACACCAAAGTGCGGATAAACCTCCTCAAAGCCCTCGAAGCCCTCTTGGACGGACAAACGCTTATCTTGAAGCATAACATAATATTTGAGGTCTTGAACAACATGTAGACACGTATCAAAAGAATCCGTTGGCACTTAGAAAACCCTGAGTGGTGATCGTAATACTTGCAACATCGATAAAACTACTAATGGAAGGTGAAAGAAGATACATACCCAATGAACAACTTACCGAGCGGATGTTAAACACGACAACCACAAGCGGATGAACATAAATCTCACAACCACGAAGTCTACTCAGTAGACCAGTTTATAATTGGCATCACAAACTGAAGGCATCACCGAAGTGCATCAAACTAACTATGACTGGTGGAGCTAAAAGCATAAAAACCTACGAACTTAGCAACATAAGGTAGTGAAACATGTAAAACTTCAACAGAGTCTGACCTGATGGTCCCGTGAAATTCAGACTAACTAGATCCTATTGGAATACACTTCTAAAAAGGTATATTTCTTTTTCCTCTATTAAAGGGATAACAATTAAAAAAATAAAAACAGTAGAAGGGCGGCTCAACGTATGCTCAAATGAAGTAGGCGATGAAAGACCTTTGCAGTTCTTGAGGAAGACTATAATTCAAGGTTGCTGCGGCATCAGTGTTCCACTTGAGGAACTATAAATAGGAATAATACGGCAAACTCTGTTCTCAATTTACACGATACGAAACTGACTACGGCTTCTCGCCTCACTAATATCTAAAACGTTTATCTGCCAGCAAAATTACCCTAACGCATAAATACACAATAACATTACTCTTCAAAGCCATGAGAATTGGAGAGTGAATAAGAGAAGAACGACCCAAAACGCTCCTCAGCTGTATGTTAATCCAACGACGGGAATACTTTTGACAATAAAGTCCTCCGACCAACCAAATTCACGACGGAAGTACAACTGCCTACAACTCGTAATTCAACTAGAGACACCAACAGAGGTTCGAGACAAAAACATCCCCACGCTTGTTTGCGTATTTCTATCGAAATCATTCGATGTATTGCTATCTCGAACAAGGCTTCTAATCTGAAGTATCTTTGCCAACGCCTGACAATCTTGACAGCATTTGTACATCGTTAAAACTATTTAATACCACTATTGAAAGGACTAAAGTTATTGTCCTCTGCTATCTGTTTTAAGAATACATAGCTGATCGTGCTAAGCAAAAAAACGCGGACTTTAGCAACAAGTGTATACCCAGCGTTTGTATAACGTTACATTTGGTACAATAAGTTTGTTTGAGGGATTGTATTCCTTTATGTAAATTAGTGTTTCTTCAAAGGAATTACCAGATGTAAGTGGCTGTATGGGTGCAAGCGAGCTCTTACAGGAGGGCTGTTGCACACTTGCCTCATTCCTACTTAATAGCTCTTGAAAAACACGTATTTGCTTGAATGATACTTGCTTGACTCTCTATTGAGGTCTGCGAACGGATCTGCGAATGAGTTTACATTGAATTCTGCGGAGATAATGAGAGACTTGGTCGACCCAACCTTGAAGTTATCGTACAAGGAATTGCATAGCAACTCCGACATGATCGGTGCCAAGTGCTTGGTCCATGACGACACAGTGTAGAATGTGCTTAAGATAGAGGGTGAGACATTTGTGAGAATCGCAAGTGCTCTAGGCGAGCAAGACGTAACAATAAAGTTCGGGCGATGTGAAAACGTGTCTAAATTTTTGGAATCAAATCCCACTCAGTACGAATTTGCGATGCGATTTCATATTTTAAAACAGCTTCTTCAATAGCTAAGGATATAGATCCAGAATATTTCGCCTTTGGTGATTGGATGCTAAAGAAATCGAGGAGTATACATCTGGAACGAGTGATCAGAGTGTCATTCACGGAAGTGCGGTATCCCGTCAAGTAGAGTTAACAATTTAAGCTTGAAGTTCCTTGCATCAGTGACCATGGGATTACGAGAGGGCGAATATTAAGTCGTTAACGCTACAAATTTTATTAGATATCGAAGCCATAACCTTTGTCCATAAGAGCTATTAAAAGCGCCATTCTGCTTCGTCTCTCCGTCTACCAGTAGCACGCCGTTTGCTACCACTAAGATCATCCACCTCGCGACGCATATTCTCTCGCTTAAGGCGTCTTGAATTGCGCTCTCTCTCGATTTCTCGTTTTTCAATTTCCCAGGGGCTCAAGATCTCGATGAAAGGTTCCCAAACAGCATTACCGTTGTGTAGACTGCTGTCAGTACGTATACGTATCGATTTCTCAAAGATGAGTCCCGATAATTGCTGATACCTATTCAAATCGTTATTGTAAGCACCTTCAAGAATCTCGCGTTTGAGTCTTAGAATAGTATCATGCAACGAATGTGCGATTGCTGGTTTAAACTCAAGGGAAAGCCCTAAGTCGGAGGCGACAATCTCTGCAAACTCTTCGGGAGAAATCTCGGTCTGATGCATGTCCCACTCAAACTTGTCTTCATAAAGTTTTTTGTCGAGATTCACAGACAACTCGATAATGACGTTGAAGCCAAAAGCTTGCGGAAGCGGAATTTGCGCAACGGCTTGATAGTCTTCAATTTGCTTGTTTATTGATTCAACGATGTCCTGGTGGACATGTGAGGGTAATTCAAGATCGGACGTAAGTAGTGAGGCAAATTGCTCTGGTGAAACAAGACTCTGATCAACATTCCACATAAAGAAGTCAACAAGTTTTGATGTACCTGAGTTATATTCTATGTTTAGTTTGATAGGAATCAAAGTTTCGGAAATTTTAGAAGTCACTTGCTGCAATTTCCCTTCGTCTTCAAAACTTGCGGGCCGTGTCAATTTTGCAGGTTTCAACAAGTGTTTTGGCACTGACGTTATCACATGTGTGCTTGCTATCGGTATATTTCCATTTGTTCCATTTTTCTCTTCGTCGTATTCAAAATCGTCATTGATATTGTCAAATTCAGCATAGTTGATCTGCTGGGCATTACGCTTCGCTGATCGTTCTTGTGGAATACTCGTGATAAGCATAGCACTGTCAGGGTCCTTAGAGACTCTAGAGGATATTCCAGAGCTTAACGCCTGGGGCTCGAAGGGGTTTCCATGGTACGTCAAGGACATATTGTTGAACGTTAATACTCTCAAACTGGTTGTTCGACACTTATAATGGTTATGTGCAGCACCGTATGAACAACAACATGAGAAGCTGTGATCTTTTGAAAGATGTATTACTATCATCGAAATTTGAAATAGTATGCCCCATATATGACTTTAAATCTTTTTTCGAAGACTCGATAGAAGAAGAGGCTATTCTTGAGTTATATACAGCTGTTTCAGGCCATTATAATCGTTCGATTGAAGGTGTCGATTCTATGAAGGCAACGAGGGCTTTAAACGAGATATCTGCGTCGATAGATACTTTGAAGCCACAAGCAGTAAATGTTCCACTCTTAGATTTATGCGGGAACCTTGAAAAGTTGCTCATGAGCACTAACGGTGACCTACTGAAATTGCTGGATTTATCACTCGACCAACGACTTTTATCGTCTGATTACTGAGTACAACTCAAGGATTTACGCTTCTGGGCAATTCTAGTACTTCATCTTCCTTCCCCAACCAACGCCAAATCTCGAACTTCCAGTTGAGGTCCTTTCTGTCACCTATGAAATATGAGGACTCTATACCACCATTAGCGTGCGGCCTCAAATACACCAATCGATCGATTCTAGAATGAACTAGGGCCATGCTACACATGATGCAAGGTTCATGTGTGGTGTAGACAATTAACTCCAGGCAAAGATAATGCGGAAGCGATGAAGTTTCGTTCGCCAGCCTTTTGAGTCTTTCATTTTGAGCAATCTGGCCTATGGCCTCCATGACACTGTGTCGTAACGGGTGCTTCTCGCGAGCATCAATAGCAGTAGCCCATACCTCCATCTCCGACTGCTGATTGTCTTTGGCAATTAAAGTTGCACACCCGAATCCCAGTTCTCTCTTCGCTAGCTCAAGGAGAGCTTCTATCATATTCTTTTCTTTGACAATATCAAAACTCGCATTCTTCAAATCTTGGTGGTTTGGGTTACCTTTCCAAGAAATAGGCCAATATAATGCACTCCATTCGAGAGATTCCTCCTTTGTAGATGGGATGTTGGAAGGTACTTGGACTTTTTGAATTTGTGTTTTGGAAGCACCTCTTGGTCCATCAGAAGAATGTTCGAGACAGTGATGCAACTCCTCTTTCGTTGTGAATAGGTCGCATGAAGCAATCAACATCGTGATCTTAGTTTTTCCGTCCATGAGGCTCTGTCGTATTCTTTTTAGGTTAGTGAAAGCATAGGGATCCTCACCATTCACATGGCAAGATATGAAGCTCAACATTTTTTTGATGTCTTGAGGTTGAACATCGCAAGTCCAAGCATCCACCAAATCAGGAGCCACAGTTCCGGTATTGGATATTCGTATTTGTTTTAGAAGGTCATCAATAGTATTATTCTGTAAATCTACCTTGTGCGGTATTCTGTTAGGTAGCATATTCTGTGATTTCTTTCACAGTTTCCGTATATTTCGCGAACAGTGTAGAAAACGCGGTACCTAATGTCCATCACTACTGGACAAACCCTATGGTCGCTTCTAACAACAGATAATAAATCCCCTTTCCAAGCAAGTGAAATTGACAATCATGAGCAAACCTTTCTAGACTTCTTGAAGACCACTACCATTCATCGTAAGCGTGGTCGCGTTGACGCAAAAGCCAGGCAAGATACATCATGTTTCGAGATTGAGGATACGACTACATTTGTCATTAAACTAATTCAAAATTTTATTCTGAATGGAATAGATTCATCGGAGCCATTTCTTAGTGTGGAACATAATGAAAAGAGCTTCCCGACTCTTGATTTTCTGATTGATTGTGTCCGCGGACCATTTTGGCTGAGATTCTGTTCTTTGATAGGGAGACACCACTTTGCTAACATGATTCAAACTACGGAATTGTTTCTTTGCAAGTCTCTGCTGGTGTATTGGGCTTTTTTACAAAATGAGACACCTTTAAGGAATCTTTCCAAGTCGAATCTATCGAAATCTGGAATGATGTATCGTACGGGTGTCAAGAGAAGAAACTGTCAATTTATCATTGAATCAAATCAACAACTTTTAAGCTACTTACATCATCCGAATACAGTCAACTTAAGAAACCCACCAAAGCGTTCAAGGCTGCTCATGACTCTATTGCGTCATGCTAGAGTGCTTGATAGTAAAATCAATTATACCGAACTATTTTTGGCGCAAGTAACTCACTCCTCCGAAGTGCATTCCAGTTTTGGGACTCCATTACACTCCGTCGTTAACTTTACCATTAAAGTCCTTGACAAGCTTTTCACTCCGAAGTTCATTGGTTGTATCAAGAATAGGAAAGTGCTTCGGCGGTTTATCGTTGAGTTCCTCAAAAGTCGAAAGAAAACCTCACTTCTGATACCAAATTTGATGAAGGAATTGAATTTAAGCTCCATATGGTGGTTAGGAAGGGTTGAGAATACGAGAAAGCTGACCAGACATCATATTGAGAATTTAGCTTTTCGCCTTTTAAAGTGGCTCTTCACCACTTTAGTCCCCAGAGCAATCAGGCAATTCTGGTACGTTACGGAATCGTCGGCAAAAGTTTCCAGCACAAATATGTCGGTTTCTTTTATCCCTCATGACGACTGGAAAAAGATCTCTGAAACGTGGTTGCGGAGTTATCAGAAAGACTACCTCACTGAGCTCAAGGTACCGCTGAGACAACCCCGTTACAAGCAAGGAATTTTAAGGCTCGTTCCCAAGAAGGGAGATTTTCGTCCCCTCTGCATTTCACTCCGCTATCACCATTTTCCCCAGAAAAAAAGGCTAAGTCCGGATGAGATCAGAAAATCACACTATTTTGACCGGCATGTTCTAGGTTCTGTGAGAGACGCGATTCGTTTCCAGCAAACAAGAAAGGCACTTTTTCAGTTTCAGGGTCATCAGAAATGCTTTTCAGTCAACGAAGTCGCGATAGCCTTGAATAAATTTCGAACTGATCTCATTGACCGTCATGGAAAGCATTTCAAGCGATTGCATGCAATCAAGTTTGACATGAAGCATTGCTACGATAATATAAATCAAGCGAAAGTAATACAATGTGTCCGAAATTTGTTTTTGGGCGAGGAAGATAGAACACTATTTCTAAAAAAGGGGCTAGAATACAGTGACTGCAATCTCAATCATGCTCGGATGAGCAGAGTGATCGCTCAAGTAAGTCAGCTTGAGAGGGTAAAACCTGCAAACCTTTTTGAAAAGTCTACGTTTGTTAAAGCCTTTCAGAAGCCTCTACATTTAGGCAGACTTCATGTGTTCGATTTACTTGACGTTGTCTTGGATCAGATTGCGAACAGTGTAATACATGTAAAGCTCGATCAAATGGTTTGCTCTAGAAAACGAGGTGTATCCCAAGGCTCACCTCTACTGGCCACTTTCTGTGACGTGCTTTACGATCAACTTGTACATGACGCATTCAAAGATTCAATAGACATGAGGGACTCTTTGCTAATTCGGCTAGCTGATGATTTTTTAATTCTATCGCCCAATCAGCAAACCTGTCAGATTATTTTTGAGAAGGCTTGTTCAGAGAGCTTTCGGCAATTCGGCGCATACGTCAACCAAGAGAAGAGTCAAATGTTTTTGTCCACTGGAGGGCCGATGACAGTAAGTTTTGTTGGGCTTAATATCACAATACCATCCCTTGATATCCTGAGAGATTTATCTGTCAGCTCACAACCACCTTCGAGGGCGCTTCGCTCTCTCAGTCATATTCTTCGCCATTTACTATGGTCATTCAGACTTAAATTGAGAGAGCGGCTCAATGATGGAGATGCTGTACCAATCCTGAAGTTTGAGCTCGTAGTTGAGCAGGCTCTTTACCACACATTGAGAAGTCTCGAGATATACAACGGGAAAGCGAAGTTCAGATCTATTGATCAACCCCTTCAGTTAAAGCTATTCCGACAACGTATACTCTTGGTGATTCATGAAGTAGCAGTTAAGGGCCCGATAAACGCAATTTCACTGGCCCATTTTTCTAATTTCGTTGTTAAAAAGATTTGCAAGATGATCGATGCTTCCGTTCAAAGATTACATACATAAAAAGCTATATAACCCCGAAGAATGACCGCAAATTCTCATTATCCTTTTCCCTTCTGTTTCTTTCCAACTCCTCGATTCCTCCCGACTTCTTCAACCGACTCTCATTCACGAAAGCGTCAAGCTCTTCCTCAAACTGATCGGGCCCCAACATTTGTTGCTCCTTAACTCTCATTCTTTCGGCCCTCGCTATTGCTTCGATACGGTCAGAATGGTTTGGAATTAAAGAAGCCACCTCTGTCAACATTGCATCTTTGAGACCATGTAAGCTTTCTTTTGAATCTAGTAAATTGATACGAGAAGCTATCTCGGTGCGTTTTGTCAGGAAAATTCGACTTTGTTGAGTAGAACATCGCATTATCAAGTCAAAAGTCTCCTCGATTTTCCGAATGTCCTCTTCCAAATCCAGGGTAAGATCGTCTTGCAAAGTGAGGAATTGTTGTTCTTCACAGACTTTATCCAATTCTTGCTCCCAGATTTTTTTCCAAGCTGGTCGCTCTCCGACGATGTATTGACGAAGGGCATAAAGTGAGCTCTTAGCAGCTTCGATTTCACTAGAAGCATTTTTTATCTGTTTGTCACCAACACGAACACCTCTTTGTGCGACGTCTTTTCTCAAAGCTTCCATCATGTCCAGAAGGTCGTCCACTCTAGTAAGAAGTGTATCCGAGTCTTTCGAAAGCTTGGCATAAGAATTGTCCATATAATCACGATTTGAGCCAAGCGGCAAGGTCAAGGCGGATTCTTTAAGCTTTGCTATTGAGTCAATCGAATGAAGTAGAACACTCTCGAGCTCAGTTTTTTGTGAATTTTGCACTTGCTTCATTGCTTTGAATTCACGTGAGATTGATTCGAGCTCTTTCATTAATTTTGACGTTTCGCTTGTCAGTGAAGTTCCCGCAAGCGGTTTCATGATTTGGGAAGACTGATAGGCCTTCATCATTTCAGAGCTCAAGTTGCGAAGCTCATCTTTCAAACTTTCCAAAGAAGAGTTAACACCATCAGTGAATTTATCGAACTTACTATCGAGACTCTCATTTTCGAAAGGATCCTTTAAAAGTAGTGAGACACCTTCGACTACTTCTGCCTCAAGCATATGTTCCTCAAGCTCATATGATCTCCCATTCATCGTACTCTCCACGTATATATCTGGAAAAATTGTACTGCCAGGCGAGTATGCGAATTTTTCCACAAAGCAAAGGCGGAGCGAGGCCATAGTGATAGGTCTCTCAAGAGAAACTTTCTTTGTTTTGCTACCAATCAGGAGATATGCTGTAATCTGACTTGTTGGGTCTTCCTTGACTTTGGGATCAATGACTGCCTTGGAGGGCGACTCAAAAGAGAGACCTGGTTGGTCTGGCTTTAGACTAGGTAAGTTGGGTTTGCTGGCATTGGTAAGCTTGGCAAACTGATATGCACTGAATCTCTTAGAAGCTCTCCGCAGAATAGCTTTACTTTCCTGCAATTGCTTGAGAGCGTCTTTACCAATTCCCTCAGCCCTTGTCTTTCCCTCCTTTGCATGCTTTGTATCTTTGGTATCGAAAGATTGCTCAAGCATAAATTGCTCATCGTTTTGGGCTTCTGTGATTTTAGTTTCTTGTCGAGGCGTTTGTGCGGTGCCATACGTACTCGAATGGCGGGCCTGCTCGTTCTCAATAAAATGTGATTGTTGGGTAAATCCATCTTCTAACCCTTTTGCTTTGAGCTGCTTTTGCTTGAGATTTTGAAGAAGATTCACGATAATGCTCCTTATGTTTGGAAGAAAGCGATCTAAACTTTCTTGTGTGGGAGGCTCGCTCAAAGCAGACTCCAAAACGATTCTCAATGCTTTTGGTACATCCCCAATGTCAGAAACGTCAACTCTAGCATTGGAGAACGCTCTTATTGCCGCCCTGAAGTCATTTCCCAATTTGACGTAAGCATCCGAGACATACTTATCGTCAACCTCCTGCCTCGTCCACTGGGTTAAACTCTCGAGCAAGTGTTTCGTAGAAACAAGAAGACGAGTCACACTACTTTCAATTGTACCCGATCCAGGGCGTTTGGTGTTGGCTGACGTGATAGAGGAAGATTCGGAGTGCGCTCTGTTCATTCAAGACGGTGTTTCGATAAAATGTTCCTTCAAAAGGCCGAGTAATTAAATAGATATCACGTGACTATGTTGATCTAGTCAGTGAAGTACTTAGAGATAACTTCTTGATCAGCGAAATTTCGAAGAATCTTAACAGCATCATCATGTGGCATTTTCCCCAAAAACACTCTTGTAGCTTGGATGATTGCTTCGGCGGTGTTACCGCGTATTGCTTTATGAGAGAGTGCAAGGAGAATTGCTTCGACCACCTTCAGAGATTGTGCCTTAACCGCAGGATGCTCATTCTGCATGAGAATCGATAAGAACGAAAAACAAGAAGAGGCTGCTTCTTCATCGTAAAGTACGGGCAATAGCGCCAACCACTGTGAAATGACGTGATCAAACTCGCCTATAGCAGCACCATGAGCCTGGCAAACCTTTGCAATCGCGTATACACAATTTTCAGTCGCTGGTAGGTTCTCATCCGCCTTCGCATCAGGAAAAGTGGCCACTTGAAAGAGAATTGGTAGACTCTCCAAACACAATGAAGGATACAAAGAACCTTCATGCTGAGCAGCTAATGCGATTGCGTGCGCTGACCCTTGCCTGATCTCAGCCTGGGGGGAGGTCAAGCCTTCCGTAATTATATACTTGAGGTAGTTTGACAGATCAGGATATTCCGAATAGTATTTGAAAATATCGCAGACAACACTCAAGCCACATAATTTTATAGAAGAATTCTCATCCACAATAAAACTTGACACAAGTGGAGCCAAAAGCTTCTCATAAAAGGGAGCAAACTTCGTACCCCCAATTTTAAACAAGCATGTAATTACCCGATTAAGCTCGTCGAGGAGTTCCTCGTCAGTGATTTCCTCCTCGCTATCATCCACATCCTCAGTAAATTGATCGCCTTCGCCGTCTCTATTTTTAATTCTTTCATAGATTTCAGTGAGGTTCGCATGAACAGCTTCAGCGAGGAAATCAAGGTGCGCAGTAGTCAATATTTCAGGATCCAACGTTTCCATACACTCCACAAGAGACGTGTAATACGCCATGAGAAGCTCAGGGACAGGTTCCGTTCTCAAAACTTCGCTCAATTTTACACAGATTTGTGCCCACATACTTGAAGTCTCTTGAGATCGAGCACCAGTAGCGTATACGACGCTCTTAAAAAGCGACGCAAGAAGTAAGGAAGACGATGCTCTAACTCCATCATGAAGATAGAAGTCCAAAGCCGGTAAAGCGATCTCTTGTGCGATCTCTCCAACCCAGGGGAAAAAGTCCTCCCTCAACTGGACAGTGTAGATACGAAGCAAGTCCAAGGCCGTAACCTTATCGTCAAGAGCGGCAGTGTGCACCGCAATTAACTTCCCGGATAAATTGATGACATCCCACTCCTCACTGTTGTTGAATTCTTCAGCTTCATCTTCCTCCAAAAATGAGACATCTTGCGCGGCTTTGGCAGTCTGGAGTAGAGGCGGTAAAACAAGAGGCAAGTACTTGACAAAATCTTTCCCGATAAGTTTACAGATTCTGCCCCACCCTTGCTCCAAGAATGACTTGAGTGGATCATCCACATCTGTGCATGTCTCCTGAAGAACAATCATGATGTCAATCAAGTTGTCACTATGTTGACTGAATATTTCTTTGCCCACAGCGCTAGATATAAGTGTAGCACACTCGACACATTTAGCTTTTAGTAAACGGTATTCCTCGCCTAAATCGCTCTTTAGGAAGTTAACTAACAAGGGGAGGAGAGTGTCGTGATACTTGATGAATTTTTTCTGTGCCGCATCTGCAATTATTGCGATAGTGGTCAAAACTTGCTCCTGAACGTATCGTTTTGGTGATTGCAAAAGCGCCAATAAGTTATTCAACAAACTATCCAAGAATGGATCCAAAACGTCATTTGATGCTGCCTCGCAGAAGTTGACTAAGGCAGCAGCGGCATGTTTTTGGACTTTGAAAACAGATTTATCTGTGAGTTTCGAAATCAAAGCAGGAAGGATTCTATCTCCAGAAGTTCGTTGGATTACGCCAGCAAAATCAGTTGAAATTTGGCCCAAAGCGTTGCAGCAAGCAAACTGAACTCTTGAATGTGGATGATCGATGCATGGTAACACTAGATCTAAGATCTTTGGTATTTCAGCAATGAGTAGGTCCGCACAGCCTTCAGCACACGCGGACAATGCCATGAGAGCTGCGAAGCATTCTCTCCAGCTTGTAGACTGACACATGGAGGGCACAAACAGAAACAAATGAGTTGCAATCGCTTGTCCCCCAAGTCTTAAGGAAATTCTATCAAGTGATTGTCTAGCTGCCTCATATTCGGGTTCATCTTCATCATCCTCCGTATTGTCATTGTTATTCCACTCCGCTGCATCTTCATCATCAATGCTAACTTCAGTCAAGAGAGATAGATTTATCAAAACCATTGTACTTGCATAACTTGAAGTCAGCTTACACATCGCAGGTGAGACTTCGGCGAAGGTCGTCAAGAGTTCCAAAGCTCCAAGCCTTGCATTCACTTCCAAATCTCTATTCTTGCACACCGTCGAGCAAAATTCAATGATCGTTGAAAACATATCCTTGAACATTCTGGGTGCCATCTCCGCGAGTTCAACAAGACTTTCCAACACATTTGCAAGTGCCTCATCATGGGCATTCTCGAGGAACCTTGGTAAAGAGTTCAACAAACTTGGTAGCAATGGACTCATCACCAGCCACACGTTTCTTGGGGATTCTCTAAAAAAAGAAACAAATGCTGTGCAAGCGGCGATCCTGACATCATCGTCACCATCTTCAAACCCAGCTTCAAATAGAAGCAAAATTCTGTCAACGTAATTTGCCTCAATCATCTCAGGGCAGCTAGATAATACACGAAAAGCGCACTCTCGAAGACTCGACTCTTGACTGCTCGCACAGTCGAACAAGTTTGGGATTAGATCGGGCCAGGTTCCTCTAGGTGAAGCATCTTCACGGGCGACTTCAGCAATAGCATCTGCAAGCTTTCGTCTTACTGCTCCCGACTGTTGTGAAACAAACCCCTTCAAAAGCACTTCTCTTATTTGCGTCTTCACAGATTCATCGATTTCACCTATAGTTCGATCTATCACACTTCCAAGATCTTTTGGAGAGCGAATAGCCATACGACGGAATAAAATTGCACAGAAAGAGCGAACGGTATCATCTGAGCCATTTGCAGCATTCGTAGCCAAATATAAAAGAAGAACACCCACTCTGTCTGGGCCTCTCCAACTTGTCTCCAAAGTTTCCTCTGCCGCTCTTCGAGGGTCGTTTTGAATCGACATCAAGCCCCCTAAAAGCTCATTCAAGCCATTCAAGTCTGCAGAACTTAACGACATTCTGTGAATGATTTTGAGGAACTCAAGCGTTGGTATGCTCTGGTAGAATTCTTTTCTCAACGCTAGTGCGGCATATAAATGAACCAAATGCAGAGTGGTAGAGAGAACAAAAATAGAGGAGAGAAAGTAAAATCAGCAATAATAATCTATAATGCTCTACTTTCAATAACCAAACGTTATATATTAATCCTTCTTCCTGCAGTTGTGTAGCAAAAGGAGGAATACTACCTTTTAAGAATTGTTATAACGTCTTCGTCCTGCAAAGGATGCGTTAATCCCACAATTTGGGGCTGATGTTTTACGGATGTACCGTAAACAACAGCATTTTTAAAATCTTCAACCAATGATTTGTGGATCGAGTTACAAAAGTCCTCCACGCTGCACCGATCATTTCTCAAAACGACAGGCTCATTAAAGTCAGGAAGCTTTCCCTTCGGCTTCGTGTAGACGCGCACAAGCTTTAAACGATTCCACATCATTTCAAGAAGATCATCCAAATTCCAACCACTGCCGGACAGTATAGGTACAGCATTTGGGATCTTATACAACAAGTCAAGCTCCTCGATTGAGAATGAATCTATCTTGTTTAAGACGTAAATGGCAGGGATATACCTGCGTGATTTCGCCTCTATGGTATCAATAAGGTCGTCCACGGTGGCATCACATCTGAAGGCAATGTTTGCAGAGTTTATCTTGTATTCAGCCATCACAGCTTTGATCTCATCGTTATCTAGATGGGTCAAAGGGGCCGTAGTTGTAATATTGATACCACCCTTTTCCTTTTTATTGATCACAATGTTCGGGGGTTCTTTGTTGATCCTTATTCCAACTCCTTCCAACTCTTTCTCGATGATTTGTTTATGATGTAATGGTTTGTTCACATCGAGTACCAAAAATAAAAGATTCACCGACCGTGCAACGGCGATGACCTGCTTTCCTCGACCTTTGCCATCCTTCGCCCCTTCAATAATACCTGGCAAATCCAACATTTGGATTTTGGCACCTTTATACTTGATAACACCAGGGACAGTTGTGAGCGTTGTAAATTCATACGCAGCAGCTTCCGAATGCGTCCCTGTAAGTTTGGACAAGAGTGTAGACTTTCCGACAGAGGGGAATCCCACGAAGCCCACTGTTGCCACACCAGTTCGTGCAACATCAAATCCTTGACCGCCACCTCCACCACTAGAGGCACTGTCTGATAATAACTCTCTTCTAAGTTTGGCCAATTTAGCTTTGAGTTGTCCCAAATGGAATGAGGTAGCCTTGTTCTTCTGAGTTTTGGCCATCTCATCTTCTATAGCCTTGATCTTTTCAACAGTAGTCATATTGAATGCTCTTTACAATTTAAGTTTTGATGGTTTAGCAAAAATAATGGCTCGGTTGGACTTCTGCCTTACAACAAATAAAATTTTGCAACGGATTGTAGCTTTTCATGTAGTACGAGGCATTCGCTGCGCAGTAGTGTGTGAACCATCAGAGGAAAAAAATTAAGAAGCACAGAGCTGAAACCAAATCAGATTCAATGGCGAAGAAATCTAAGAAAGGAGGTAAATCCGGAGGTGACTTCTGGGATGAGGACATTGAAACTGAGCAGAATTCGGAGGGACCATTAGACCAGGACCCCGAGGCTGTCGCTGAAGAGGAGCTATCTCAGGATGATGACTTTCTCAATTCTATTCGAAGCTCGAAGAAGAAGAAGGAGGCAAAGGAAAAGGAGGAGAAGGAGAAGAAGGATGGGCCCAAACTTTTGAGTAAGAAAGAAAAGGAGAAATTGAAGAAGGAAGCTGAAAAGCAAGCGAAGAAGGAGGCCGCAGCGAAGAAGAAAGCCGATCAAGCAGCTAAAAAAGAGCAAATCAAGGAGGCTAACAAGCAGAATGCTGCAGCTAATGCCGAGAAGAAAGCTGAGCAGCAAAAATCAACTTCAGAGGAACCGGAGAGCAAAGCGCCAGTTAAGAAAGGAAAAAAGGCACCTGCGGGAATCGCCGCATTGAGGAAACAGCTTGAGCTCAAAAAGCAGTTAGAGGAGGAGCAGCGTCGTTTAGAAGAGGAAGAGGAGCAGCGGCAAATCGAGTTGGAGAGATCTGCGGCAGAGAAAGAAGCAGAAGCAGAAGCAGCTCGCCAGGCTAAGAAAGAGAAGGAGAAACTTAAGAAAGAAAGATTGAAAGCTGAGGGTAAGCTTTTGACTAGAAAACAACGAGAGGAAAAGAAATTACAAGATCGTCGTCGTGAATTGCTTTTGCAAGGTAGTGGAGTCAGTGTTGCCGGTTTGGAAAAGAAGGACGCCTCCGAGAAAACCGATAAGCCTAAAAGAGTTGTCTACACGAAAAAGAAGTCAGGTAAAGCAAAGAGTCACGAAACCCAAGCTACAAACGAAGATGTGAAAAACGATGACGATGATGTCCTAGATGATTGGGAGCAAATGCTTGATGACGAAGAGCAAGTGGCAGGCAAAAATACATCACAGTTGTCCCAGACTTCTCCCGAAGCTGATACAGCTGGCCTGAATGTAAACGCCACTCCAGCTGAACATGAAAGCACTGAGGTCGCTGAGAAGCATGCTACTACTTCTACTCCCTTGGATAATCAGATCGTCGAAAAATCAACGCCATCCGTGAATGATGAAACTTTAACCCCTGAGAATAGTTCATCTCACAGCGCCAAGGAGATGCGTTCCCCAATCTGTTGCATTTTAGGTCATGTCGACACTGGTAAAACCAAGTTATTAGACAAAATTCGTCAAACAAATGTTCAAGGTGGAGAGGCCGGAGGTATCACCCAACAAATTGGTGCTACGTACTTCCCTGTTGAAGCAATCAAGCAAAAGACCGCCGTTATGTCGCAGTATGAGAAGCAATTTTTCGACGTCCCTGGCCTTTTGATTATCGACACTCCGGGGCACGAGTCTTTCACCAACTTGAGATCTCGTGGTTCTTCTCTTTGTAACATCGCAATTTTGGTGATCGATATCATGCATGGTTTGGAGCAGCAAACTTTAGAATCGATCAGACTCTTGAGGGATCGGAAAGCACCATTTGTGGTGGCATTGAACAAAATCGATCGTCTCTTTGATTGGGAAGCAACACCTAACAACTCATTCAGAGACTCGTTTGGGAAGCAGAGCAAGTCTGTTCAGGGTGAATTTCAAAACCGTTACGAGCAAATCAAGCTTGCTCTCGCAGAACAGGGTTTGAACTCGGAGCTTTACTTCCAGAATAAGAATATGTCGAAGTACGTCTCAATTGTGCCAACATCCGCAGTAACTGGTGAGGGTGTTCCTGACCTTTTATGGTTGTTGCTTGAGTTAACTCAGAAGAGAATGTCGAAACAGTTGATGTACTTGTCTAAAGTGGCCGCCACAATTTTAGAAGTGAAGGTTGTCGAGGGTTTTGGATACACCATCGATGTTGTGTTATCTAACGGAGTTTTAAGAGAGGGCGACAGAGTTGTGTTGTGCGGTCTAAATGGGCCTATCGCCACGAACATCAGAGCTTTGCTAACCCCACCTCCATCGCGCGAGTTGCGTATCAAGTCGGAATATATCCACCATAAAGAGGTGAAGGCAGCTTTGGGAGTCAAGATTGCAGCGAATGATTTGGAGAAGGCCGTTGCAGGTTCTCGATTACTAGTCGTGGGGCCTGACGATGATGAAGATGAGCTAATGGAGGAGGTCATGGACGATTTAACAGGCTTACTTGATTCAGTTGACACATCGGGTAAAGGTGTTGTTGTACAGGCCTCCACTTTGGGATCATTGGAGGCTTTACTCGACTTTTTGAAGGATATGAAGATCCCTGTTATGTCTATTGGATTGGGCCCAGTCTATAAGAGAGACGTGATGAAAGCAACTGCGATGCTTGAGAAAGCGCCAGAGCTCGCAGTAATGTTGTGTTTCGACGTCAAGATTGACAAAGAAGCAGAACAATACGCAGAAGAGCAAAATGTGAAAATCTTCAATGCTGAAATCATCTATCACTTATTTGATGCATTTTCCGCCTATCAGGCCAAGTTGCTCGAAGCCAGACGAAAAGAGTTCATGGAATATGCTGTTATCCCCTGCGTGTTGAAGACGATTCAAATTATCAACAAACGTAACCCTATGATCATTGGTGTCGATGTTATTGAGGGAACCGTGCGTGTCGGAACACCAATTTGTGCAGTTAGAAAGGATCCTACGACTGGTGCTGCCAATATTTTGGTTTTAGGTAAAGTTGTTTCGTTGGAAGTCAATCATAAGTCTTCCGATTCTGTGAAGAAAGGTCAGACAGCGGCAGGCGTTGCTATGAGATTGGAAAACCCATCTAGTGCGCAGCCTACTTGGGGAAGACATGTCGATGAGACCGACAACTTGTACTCGTTGATTTCTAGGAGGTCTATCGACACTTTGAAAGATCCCGCGTTCCGTGATTCCGTTCTGAGGGATGACTGGCTTCTTATCAAGAAGTTGAAGCCTGTATTTGATATTAAGTAAATACGAAAATCAGATAGTTTGAACAAATGGACTGCGCGAACCAATAAAAAATCTCCAAATGCGCATTAATCAAAGTACTTCATCCTTCTGGTAAAGAAAAGAAGTAGCCATGCAAGATCTTCCCCCCATAGGAGGCTATCAACCAGTGCAGTGGAAAAGAAACATTCCTTCTAGAGGTTTCAAACCCAGTATTTACTTCTGGAGTATTACTGGCTTGATCACATTCGGCTTTTACAGATTTTACAAAGGTGTGGACGAACAACGAGAGCTAGCAAGGGAGAAGCAATGGGCCAGATTCTCGCTCGAGCCATTGTTAAGGGCGGAAGAAGATAGACACCTTTCAAGACGTTATTTTTCAGAGCTTAAAAGACGTGAAGAAGTTGCATCTACTATGTCCCCTCTGGACAGACAGAAGTTCGAGGAAAAGATCTACAACGATGAATCAAAAGTCAGATTCCCAAAGTTTACCGCTGGGGTTGAGCCATCACAACATTAGCATTTATAAGATCTCCTACTTTAGCAAGGCATCAATAAAGCTTTCTATTCGAATTGGGTCTGTAGATTTCCATCGTCATATCGTATAAACAGTAAGTCACGATTTAGTAGAGCATGAATTCGGGGGAATTCTACATCTTCAAACCAAGTTTTGTGAACCTGTTGCAAAAATCTATCACTTGACGGTGGTGTTCCTCTATCGCGCAAATTTTAGTAATCTCCTCTGAAGCAGATCTCATTATCCGAATAAATGACAAAAATTTCGAGCGCTGAGAATGCCAAAGACGTGTTGGATAGATACGAATACTTCTTGTTCGACTGTGATGGAGTCATTTGGCTAGGAAACCATCTCCTTCCATACGTCACAGAAACGTTGGCTCTTCTAAGAAGGAATGGTAAGAAGATTATTTTTGTGACAAATAATTCAACGAAGGCTAGATCAGACTACGTTAAAAAATTTAAAGAGATTGGCATCGAAGGTGTGACGAAAGAGGAGATCTTTGGTTCATCATACGCTTCAGCTATCTATGTTGACCAGATATTGAAGCTCCCAAAGCAAAAGAAGGTATGGGTTCTCGGAGAGTCTGGAATCGAGAAAGAACTCCAAGAATTAGGGTACGAAACAGTAGGAGGTTCAGATCCGTATTATGTTAAGGATGGCGTCACTTTTAATCCCGAGGACGAGGATCTTTTGCGTTTGGATGATGACGTGGGGGCTGTGGTTACAGGTTTGACCTTTAACATCAACTATCTCAAGTTATCTATAACAATCCAATATTTGCTCAAAGACAGCAAATCAATTCCTTTCATTGCGACCAACATAGACTCGACGTTTCCCATGAAAGGAAAACTTTTAGCGGGTGCGGGCTCAATTATCAAGTCGGTTGCTTATGCCAGCGGTCGCGAACCTGATGCTATCTGTGGCAAGCCGAACTCTTCGATGATGCAATCAATCTTTGCTGACAATCCCGGCTTGAAATCTCATCCTACCAAGGGATTGATGATTGGCGACAGATTGAATACGGATATGGAATTCGGAAGAAGTAATGGGTTAGACACTCTCTTGGTGTTCACAGGAATTGAAAATGAAGAGTCTGTTCTGAAACTCGAAGAGCCTAAGAAGCCCACATACTATGCCGAGAAATTAGGAGATATTTACCTACTTTTAAACGGCTCCAATGAATAGATAGATTTTGAATAGAGCAAATGAGTTACACTTGTCTTTTGGGACGATATTCATCCAAATGATGTCACTTGACTGCATATAGCACAAGTGCTCAATATCGAAAGGAGAACAAGAATTTGAACTATTGAAAACTAAAAACAAAACGTTCACGCCACTTCAGCACTTAGCAAAGAAGGCGAATTGAAAAAGTTACATTTTATTTGTCGGCTAGGAGCATCAATCAAAGCTAGATCGCCATATTAGGAGCCTTCTGCGATGAGTCAGGAACAGAAAGAGAAATTGGAGAACAGCGGGCTTGTCGAATGGTCAGTCTTCTCAGAATTAGTGGCAATGGATGAAGACGAGGAGGAGTTTTCAAAAGGATTGTGCCAAACATTTGTAAATCAATTTAAGGATACAGCCCAAGAAATCGATGATAATTTGAAAGAGAAGAATTTGGAAAAGTTGTCTTCCTTAGGGCACTACCTAAAAGGTTCAGCTGCAGCGTTGGGATTGAAATCTATTTCGTCACAATGTGAGAGAATTCAAAATTATGGTCACCGTGTCAACTTTGACAATTATAAGCCGGACAATTCAATCGACGAGGACGAGGATGAATTTTGGATAAGCTTAATTCAGGATGCAGTCGATAAGGCTAAGAGCGGGTTCAAAGAATCGAAGGCTGCTCTAGACGAGTATTTTGAAGACGAATTATGAGTATGCCTCCAAGATATTGATGATATCACATTAAAGGAATGTCAGAACACACATGGTTACATGATAAACAATAAGTACAGAAGTATTGATGCTCAAATTCAGTCGTTGAAGCGTCATCCACATGCTATGTTGTTGTGACTATTAAGTTTTGAAGTAGCCAATTCTTTTTGCAACAACTCCGCCTTATTGGTTTGCTTTTGGCCTGAGAAGACAAAAGTCCATGTAGTCTATTTCATAATCAATAGCATGACGAAGCCACTCCGGAATGTAAAGGATTCTTCCAATGCCAGTACTGTGACCCCCAAGGTCAATCATTCTTCTGCAGTCGATAATTGTGAAATCAGGGCTCAATATACCCTTCTCAACCCATATCTGCGGATCACCCACGGATCTATCGGAAGGCGTAGAGTTATCGATAATGAGATCACATTTATCTAACTCGATGAGCTTATCGGCCTCAAACAAGTTTTTTGAATTCATGTTCTGAGGAACATTGGATGTTGATAAGTCAATCGCAATTTCCTCTGGAAAGTCACCAGGCAAAAGCCCATCAAAACTGCTTTTAACAAATCTTAAACGAAAGTTGTCGGGGAGGAACATTGACGTGGGAAAATGATACCATTCTCGTCCGATACATAAATTCACAATTTTTTGTTCATCAAACGAGGTTGAGATCGACTGAATACTTCGAGAGATGGCCAATGGAGCTGAGTAGTTCTCTATAAGGTTGAGGATTCGGAGTCCCAGGACAAGCACAATAAGTGAGCTGAAAATAGCCTTAAAAAGCTTTGAAGAAAGGGCGCCTCTCGAATACTTTCCAGCGAAGTTGAAGGACGCATCATACATCCAACCAGCCGCTAATGATATCAAGGGATAAACGGGATAAAGAAACCTCTCTTCCTTGTGAGGTTGCATGCCAAATACAATGGTCCAGATCCATAAAGGAATCACAATGCACACGAGGTTTCTAAGGCGTTCGGATTTGGAGCATACCATGTGTAAAGTCGCAGAGTAAGCGGCGACAAACAGTAAATTGAAATTGAGTAGCAAGTTTCTCACATAGTATGAGAAGGGCTCAACACCAAAAATCTCGGGACCTTCTCCCTCAGTTGCGAAAACGTTATAAAGAACGATATTAATCGGGATGAAAGAAAGTCCCTTCTTATAGTAGAACGAGTCGACCACGATCATTGCCGCAACAAGGGCCAATAAGAAAGACAGACACGCGAAGATTACAAAAGCCAAGTTCCGACGCTTACTCCACAAGGTATACATCCCAATTGCAACGCCAAGGGCTAAGGTAAATGGCCAACCGACAAGGCCTGAAATCAAGAAGCTGCAAATGGCATAAATATTGGACCTCGATGAGTTTGAGTTAGAGTTCTTGAAAGTTGAAAGTGCGAATGCCGTTCCTAGAGTGACCCAATTCATTGCGAATGAAGATGGTAGCAAAGCACTTGAGGCATGTGCCATTCCAGCTGAGATACTCGATATGAGAAGAAACCACCTAGCTGATTCTGTGGAAATGTTTTCCCTCACACTCTTGAACAACGTAATCTCGGTAAAGGATGTGAAGCCACAAAGACAGACAATCCTTATAAAGTAGAAGTAATAATATGGGGGAAGTTTCTTGCCCGTGAGTTTGGCGAAGTCTCTCAAGGGAGAAGTGGCCAAGTAGTACGGAACAAGGTAAAAGTACGAACGAATCGCATAATCGGGGGAGTATTCCCAAGTCTCTTTCCCAAAACCCCGAAATAGAAGGTTTAGGGGCTCCCAGTAGTTGAACGTCTCATCACAATCCGAGATGATCATGGTCAATGCACAATACAATCTCACAATGACATTGCACAAGACAAGTAAATAGTCATAAAGCAGAAAGATACTTGCCTTGACAAAGGGCTGCGCATTACTTTCCACTTTCATTAGTTTTCTCAATACCTAACCAATTATTTGAGATTTCTACGCGCGCCTTGTAAAGAAGAGTTTCGTTACCGGTACATACTTCACTTATGAGCTCTTGTGCAACATGGACTCACGAGCGGGACCAACCCCCACCCATCTCACAGGAACCTTCAAAAAGTCTTCGATAAATTGCAAATAATTCTTTGCATTATCAGGAAGGTCCTCGAATTCAGTGATTTTGCTAATATCACATTCCCACCCGGGCAAGGTCGCATATTCAACTTCGACATTAGCAAGCTTCAATAAATCTTCAGGGAAGGAGCTTAACTTTTCTCCATTCACCGAATAAGCCACACCAACCTTGATCTCCTTGAAAGTATCGAGTACATCCAACTTAGTGATGTTGAGGTGCGTATAGCCGTTGATCGCATTGGAATACTTTAGCACCACAAGATCCAACCAGCCACATCTTCTCTTCCTGCCAGTCGTTACTCCAAACTCAGCACCAACATCTTGCAAAGTCTCACCGACTTTGTTTAACTGTTCAGTAGGAAATGGGCCCTCTCCTACTCTGGTGGTATATGCTTTGACCACTCCGTAAACATTCTTTATGCTCCGCGGTGGAATTCCCAACCCTGTCAAAACTCCGCCAATGCCCGTGGAAGATGAGGTAACGTAAGGATATGTACCGAAATCCAAGTCTAACATCAAGGCATTAGCACCCTCGACGAGAATCTTCTTATTTGCAGACATTGCCTTATGCATGAAGTCCACCGAGTCGACAACAAATGGTCTTAACTCCTCCCTGTACTTCTCATACCTCTCAAGCTCTTCTTTGACATCGTAGTCAAATTCCCCATACCTCTTGTATCTTGACTCCACCAATCTCTGGTACCGGACTTTAAATTCTTCCCAAGCACCAGGCTCTTGAGAGATCAAGTGATGGACTCTGATTCCGGACCGAGAAGACTTGGTGGAATATGTGGGCCCAATACCCTTACCAGTAGTTCCAATAGACTTTTTCGTCTCAGAGAGCTCAGCCTCTTTCAACTTGTCTGTTCTCTGATGAAAATCAAAAACGAGATGAGCTCTGGATGAGATGAAAAGTCTATCCCTTCCTTGAAGTCCTTTTTTCTCCAATTGTTCCAACTCGTCAAAGAAAGATGGAACGTGAATGACGACACCAGAGCCTAACAAATTTTGACACCTGGGATTTACCAAACCTGAAGGAAGCATATGGAAGTCATACTTCACATCATTTACCACAATAGTGTGTCCGGCGTTGTTACCTCCTTGACATCTAGCGCAAACATCAATATCATCACATAAAATGTCGACCAATTTACCTTTACCTTCATCGCCCCATTGAGCACCTAAAACAACATCGCACATGGTCAAAAATAATGGCGTATATTGGTAAACGTCGGAAGTTTTTCAAGAGTGAACGTCGAAGCGTTAAGTCGGAGAAAAAAAATCAAGCTAAGACTCATTTAAACCAATGCCTAATCTGCATATAATTATGATTTTACTAGCCAACCAATTAAAGAAGAGCCTTGGTCACACATATGCAGGACGATAGTGCTCTAGCTCTAGAGAAAGATAGCGTTTCGATTTATTGTAAGCATGTGTCTTAACTGAAGGTAATGAAGTTTCAAGTGACCTCTATAAAGATGCAAATCAAGCATTCAATTTGGCTAAAATGGCTTCTGTGAACTCAGTAGTAGTCGAAGTACCACCGATGTCTCTAGTTCTGACATTTCCCTCCAAGATCACGTCGTGGGTAGCTTGCGAGATCTTGTCTGCGTGCGAGTTCAAGCCCAAGTGCCTCAACAACATGGTAGCCGACAAGATCATGGCGGTTGGGTTAGCGGTGTTCTGGCCCTTGATGTCCAAACCCACGTGTCTGCAACCTGGTTCAAAAACAGCGTACTCTCTGCCAAAGTTTGCGCCGGGTACCAAGCCTGGACCACCAATCAATGCAGCTCCGATGTTGGAGAGAATCGAACCATACAAATTTGGGGTAACCAAGACATCGAACTGCTGAGGTTTTGCAACAGCTTGCATAGATGCATTGTCAACGATCAAGTCATTAACCTCGATTCCTGGGTAGTCCTGACCTACATCCTTGACTGTTGTTCTGAACAAACCATCTCCCAACTTCATGATGTTTGCCTTATGAATAGCAGTGACCAACTGTCTATTGTTCTTCTTAGCAAAATCGAAAGCAAATTTAGCAATTCTCTCCGATTTGAATCTTGTCATGATTTTCAAAGATTCCACAACACCGGGAACAGATTGATGTTCCAATCCCGAATATTCTCCCTCAGTGTTTTCTCTGACCAAAGCAAAATCAATTCCATCCAATCTAGACTTGACACCGGGAATGTTCTTAATCAAGACCAAGGAGGCATAGATATCCAATTCTTTTCTCAAAGCAACGTTCAAAGATTTATGAGTCTTGTTTGTAGGTGTGTACAAAATGCCCTTCAAACCGACCTTGTTTCTCTTCAAGGAGTTCACAGCCTCGGTGACACCTTGATGGTCTTCACTCAAGCCGGAAACATCGACAACTTCCCAATTTATGGGAACTCTTTGATCCTTGAAGATGGTTTGCACCGAATCAGTGATTTCCTTACCGATACCATCACCTGGAATCAAAGTGACTGTGTAAGTGCCACCGTATTTTTTTGGCAAAACAGATTCAGGAGACGCAAACGTAGCAAGGGAACGAATCTAAAATGTTAGTAGAGAGTTTAATGATCAAGCTGGACTCTGAATTGGTACAGTCCGGTAAGGGGCACGGAGCACTTCGGAGCACGATATTTCGGGTTAACGATTTCTTTTGGGATATGGCTCACCTCAATAAAATATCGACAGTCAACATACGTTTCTGGTAATTGGTCTAAACATTGTCTGAATATATTCTCAAGAAGAACACAAGAGTGTAGCCTGGTTTTTCCGCCTGGTGTCTTGTATCCGCCATGGAAAATTTCGCACGCACTCTTTCGGACCCGAAAACAGATTTTATTGGACAAATAATCGCGAATATTTGTGTTCCCCTCGGAGTACGATTTTAGGAAGCCCGTTCAAGGTAACTGTTTAACAGGATAGCTGAATGACGCTAGAACTCAGTCAGCTTTCAATATCATGGCCGCTGTATAAACACAGCGAATTTTTTTTTGCAAAATAGTTGATAACTGAGCATGTATTTGGTGAAAGAGTCCATTGCAAGACGAGGAATACTAAATCTTGTCTTCTTTCTCCACATTCTGTTTCCTCCTCTCAATCTTTAATATTGAAAGGTTTCATGCTAAGCAAAAATGTTTTATGTTTTGCTCATAACTTTCCACTAGACCACAGAGTGATTAATGCTCAAATCAGTAGTCGTGTAGACGAACGGAAAGAAACAAGACAAAAAATTAATAAAATCGCAAAGAGAATTAAAAATGAAAGAAGGATTACGGGAAAAAGACAAAAAAAAAAAATAGGAAGTATACGACAGACGGCAGTCTACGATTCATTTCCGAAGTCTGTTGCAATTCTTTGGTTTATGCGCGGCCATTTATGTAAGTCGACACGACCGAAAAATATCAATTGGCCAACGAGCTGAGAGAGACCCAGAACAGGCCAATTATGTGGAAAACCTTGGTAAAACAGTTAAATCAGGAGCTCAAACTAGCCCAGAAAAAAGTCGCTGCATGTCGAGAATCGTTGGATTATGAAAAACGAAAAGCTCGTCTTGCTTACGAAAAATTTCGTTTGATCACTGAGCGCAAACCTTTTGACAACATTGAACTCGAACTTGCAAATCTTGCTCGTGGCAAAACCACGTCAGCGCCTTATGAAAATACCAGAGCAAAGCAGCTTTTGAGGTCCTCTAACGATATAAACAATCTTAAAAACGTCGTCCATCATCTTCGATCCCTGCGTGTGTACGATGAGTTATTAGAAAGATATAATCCAGGAATATCCATGTCTCAAGAGGACAATGTCAAAAAGACTGCAAATATGGTTGGCTTGCAGGTTCCCGGAAGACATTAAATATCTGTCAGGCTCACGCTGAGCGCTTGATACTAGGTGAGTTTGCTTCAGGGATTTCACACAGACGTTTCAAACGAGAGTGTTCTGTCAATATCCGATTCTCATTTTGCTTTATGATTTGATTTTCGGAGTGAAACTTTTTTAAGCTATCGACGAGCAACACATCATCGTAATGTTTGCAACTGAAAAGCTGCGGCATTACCGTATCACTTTCTGCTGTTATTAAAGGCTGCAAGTGTTTAATACTAGCCTCCAAATTGAAACTATACTTATCCATCAAGAACAGCAATGCAAGTGCATGAAGTAGCGAGTTCGAGTGATGATCGCGGTCGAACCTCTGCGATAAAATCAATATTCCAGCAGAATCATTTATGTTCGTGATGAGTTTCAATAAACGATTGATGTTGAAGAACAGTTTTAACGGATTACCATTTATCGTAGGTGATTCGAACCTTAACTCCGCATTATTTAGATTCGAATTGATGAAGAAATTGATATTCCTGTTTGATTGGTAAAAAAAGGATAGATAATGTTGTAGAACCCTGTTAAAACGCTTGTGAATCTCTTGGTAACTTCTCAGATCTGATGAAAGACTGAGATCGAGGTTTAATACCACTACATCAGAGGATAACACCGGCAACTGCGAATCAAGGAATTCGATGAAGTTGTCCGAAAATCCGCAGTTTACTATTATCTTGATGTTGGCACTATATAGAAACTCGTTGTCAAGTAATGAGGTGAACGACCCAAGAAAGACTCCGGGAGTCAACTCTCTTCTCGGTGGAGGGTCAAATACAACCATATCGCGGGTTGGTAAATAGTTCGAAATACTCTAAATGTTCTAGCTCGGCCACCAGTGGTCCCTCCAACAGCAAGTTCACAAAGCTAGGCTCACAGATTTTTCGCGTTGACCTTCAGCCCTCGAGTTCCCAACTCCGGTATTAGTGCGGCTCGCTAATGAAATGCGCCGTTACCATCTTCTTTCTCCAGGCAGGGCGTCCGAATATATAGTCATCGCTTATGTAAGAGAACTCTGTGCGCACAAGAGCTGAACTGGAAATAGCGCGCCCTTCCAGCATTTCTGGACGCAACAATTGCCGTACAATCAAGCAGCCTTTTGTATGTAGGAAATCCGCTAGAGCTGTTCAATCAACTTGCTGGTTTTAAGGTTCCTCTTGGACAATAAACAAACGTTTAATTGAATTGCGATTACTGGTATATGGTCGTCAATTAACTTTGATTCAAACGTATTTTGGTTTGTGTTGGGATCGCACTGGAAGCCATTCACCTCAAAGCATTCGCGAGCCTTCTTGATAATACAACTCAGCAATCATGTTTATGTCAATCTTCGGACGGTCCGCTGCAAGGACTACCTTCCGAGCAACATCTGTTATTGGAGCATCATATCTTTTTGAACAGAAGCCGTTTTTAAGAAACGACAGTTTGCTCTCCAACATAGAAGCTCGCAAGCCATCAGTCAAAACCACATCAATGAGAAGTGAAAACCCCAAAAACTCTACTTACAGAGATCTTTGCATTGGATCAGTTACCGGTCTTTTCTTTGGAACCTTGATTGGTAAATTTTCATCCTTGATCATTTTTCTTGCTTTACTGACTTATCTTGGTATTCAATTTCTCGAGCAACGAGGTTTGATAAGAGTTCCCTGGAGGAGATTGTTCTCACTCGACGGTTCAGGGACCCGATTCGAAAACCTTATAAAAAGCCGTGTCTATTTCAATACTTCCTTCTCTGCGGCATTTCTCATCGCAGCGTTCAACATATAACTTTTAAATCTTCAATTATATATACAAAACTCACTAATTTTCTAGATTTGTCATGATATCAAATGATCCCGTACCAACATTTGATAACAAACCCATAACAATTTTTGCAGAGGGTGAGTCCAAATCCTCCCTCTCTCCATCTAGCACAGCCTTGGTCAAAAATTGACATGTGGTCTCGTAAGACATCTTCTTGAATGCAGATGTTGATGAGTCAATACCCTGTCTATTGAATGCACGATAGGTACCTTCTCTCGTCATCATGTCGGCAATGAGGTCAAGGTGGCGTGTGGAAACAGAAATGGCATATGTCGAGAAAACATTATTGATTTCATTCACAATGGTATTTCTCGCCGCTTCCACACCATAAGTTTTCAAAACTGACACAATATCGTTCGATGTGATTGCATTGACATCGATGAAATCATCTTGTTCCCACATGGCCTTGAAATTCACACCCTCAGTAGTCAAAGTGCGCTTTCCATTGTCGGGCTGAGGACGAAGACACCTTCCAATATTCGAAATTTCTCTAACAACAACTCCACGACATAAGTCCTCAATAATGTTCA